TCATATCCTTCGTGTCTTCATACATGTACTTAGGGTAATGATGACCATCACATTCCACTATCTTTCCTACCTCTATACCGCCTTCCTTCCCCTCCATTCTCTTTAACTTTTTTCCCTATCTAGAGTTCATTTAATTCTGCCATCCTACCTCCCAGAATATTAAGCATCAGCATCCTAAAATCAGAGAAATCATTCAACATTTGGTTTATTTGGGATTGGCTAATTTCACTTTGTATTATATTTTCCAGCACCATCCAATTACCTGCAAATGTGATGATTTTATTCTCTTTTAATGCTGAATAATATTCCATTGTGTATATACACCACTTTTTTATCATTTCATCTACTGAAAGGCATCTAGGTTGGTTTCACAGTTTAGCTATTGTCAATTGTGCTGCTGTAAACATTGATGTGGCTGTGTCTCTTTAGTATGCTGATTTTAAGTCCTTTGGGTATAGACTGAGGAGTAAGATAGCCATGTCAAAAGTTGGTTTCATTCCAAATTTTCCAAAAAATCTCCATACTGCTTTCCATATTGGCTGCACCAATTGCAGTCCCACCAGCAATGTATGAATGTGCCTTTTCCCCTACATCCTTGCCAACATTATTGTTTGTATTTTTAATAGCTGTCAATGATATGATTCTATATGAGAGACCCAAAAAAAGTACACCAGAAAACTTCTAGAACTAGTAAATGTAAATGTTCATTCAGCAAAATAGCAGGATACAAAATCAACAACCCATAAATCAAAGGCATTTCTGTATATGAGTGACAAATCCTTTGAAAAGGAAACTACACAATTTACAATAGCATCAAAACTGAAGAGTTTTCTAAATTGACTGTTAAGCAGTTTTAATCAATATGCACTTACCATGTGACCTAGAAATTGCATTCCTAGCTATGTATCTAATATAAATGAAAGCATATGTCCATCAAAACATTTATACAAGAATGTTTTTAACACATCATTGACAAAAGCCTAAAACTAGCAACAACCACATGTTCCTGAAGAGGATGATAAATAACATGTAGTATATTTATTCAATGAATACTAGTCAGCAATAAAGAGAATGAATTACTTCATATGTTAAAAAATAGTTGTGAAATCAAGATATTGAGCAGAAAAATCCAACACAAAATAGTCTATAATATATGAATTCATTTATGTAAAGCTTTGAAACATCCAAATTATTCTAGAGTGATGGAAATCAAACACTGCCATTGAGATGGGACAATTGATTTGAAAGAAGCTTTAAAAACTTCTAGGTTTAAATGTTGGTAAAGACTCATTAAGACCCTTTTATTTTCTTGAGTAAATTATATGTTGATTTTTTAAAATGAGGTCAACCAATGTGAAAGCATAATTCATGAAACATAATATCACTTCACCCAAACCTGAGAACTTATAAAAAATTCTTTAAAAAAATAAAATTTGTTGTGTATATCTGAGGTCTACAGCATAATGTTAATATATATATATATCATTGTGAAGTAAATTTACTTATCCCACATAGTTTATTTTCCTATGATTAGAGCAGTTAAAATCAATTCACTTAAGAAGTATATTACAGTTTGATTAACTATATTTCTCATGTTGAACATTAAATCTCTAGACTGATAGTATATATCTGATACTTTGTATATTTCAGCTTATGTCTTTCTATTTCTGCCCCAAGATCCCACTCATAGTAACCATTGTTTTATTTTCCATATTTGTATATTTGTTTTATTTGTTGTTATTACTGTCTTGGTGGTGGTGGTGGTGGTGGTTGTCGTCATCATCATCATCCTCATCATCATCTACAATGTAGGGTATTGAGCCAAGGGCTGTGCTACACCCCAGCCTCTGGTTTGTTTTAGATTAAAATGTAAGTTTATATCATTCAATATTTTCCTTTCTGTGTTTGACCCATCTGTTTTGGACAAATGACAGAATTTCTTTATAAGGCTCAACAGTTTTCCATTTTCTTCAGCCATTCATTCTTCAGTAAACACTTAAGTTGTTTCCTTGCCTTGGTTCTTGTTAATAATGCTACAATGAACACAGAATAAAACAGAGAAGAGAGCCCAGAAATAAACCCAAACACATATGGTCAACTAATTTTTGAAAATTGCACTCAGAGGACACAATGAGGAAAGGATAGTCTCTTCAATAAATAGTATTTCTCAACAATATACTGAAGAACCAAATCACTAAAGAGATCAACATTTGAGTTTTGTGAACTCTTTTTTGCAATAACATTTGATCCTTTAGTGATAGAGGCCTTTTTTTTTTTTGGTGGTGGGGGGGGCAGTCTATATACGTTATATCATAATAAACTTGTTCATGGGTTACAAATTACCAAAGTGCAGAGGTAATAGGCAAACTGACATTAATGGGCTTTTTTCTTTTTTTTTCTCTCCTTTCTTTTTAGCAGTAATGGCAATTGAACCAAGGGCTTTGCACATGCTTCATGAATACTCTACCACTGAGTTGCATCCTCCCAAACTCCACCTTTCGGCTAAATCTGGTCTGTCACTAGTTTGATCAATCAAAGAATATTTAAAAAAATATACTTAAATTACTGAAAAAAATCAATAGAAAACTAATATGTTGTAAATGCAAAAATTACATATAATTCAGATTTCTGTGTCCATGAATAAAGTGACATAGATCATATTCACATTAATTTGTTTATATGTATTGTCTTTGACTACTTGTGTAGTACAACTACCACGTTTTGACAGGGATCGTATGTCCCACAAACCCAAAACATTTACTATCCAACCCTTCACAATAAAAGTTTTCTGACTTCCTTTTCAGTACAACCTAACAAACAAACAAACAAAACAACAACAAAAACAACAACAACAACAAAACTAAACCTAAAATGTAATTTTAATGCTTTATGAATTTAAAAAGGATTTTTCTCAGTCAGCAGATGGAAGGTCAATATTAATTCTGGAAATTTCAGCTACTAAAGTTTTTCTCCAATAATTTGCCTTCATTCAATTCAATCTTTGATATTTTTATCTTCTTTACTTCACTACTTTAGTGGAGAGTAAGGACACTGTTTCACATAAAACATTGTATCAAATAAAATATATCTGAATAAAAGTTTTCCCTAGGACATAAATTTATCAATCATTTAAACCATTACTTTCCAAAAGTTTGACAGCTTCAAGTGCAAATTCTGACCTTTTTTTCTTCTTTCTCTCATTGAGTTGAAGAAAACTGGAAACTTCTTTCATAATAAATCCTTCCTTTATGATAAATCCCTCTTATATCAGAGAGTACATTGCTCTCACATATTAAATTTTTAAATACAGAGGTATGTGAATCGTACTTCTTTAAATTTTTACAGGGAAATATGTTATTTTGAAAGAAAGCTTTATGAGCATGAGATATATCAGTCTGGGAAACATTAATGTCTTGGATGACAGATTTGAGGTTACTTCCCATAACATTGTCAATTAATGCACACTGATACAGTGTTAGGTTTCTTGAAAATAAGTCTGAAATGGATTTCCAGATAGTTCTAATTGTTAAAAAGATTTGTATCTATAGGTTATGCACTATTACATGATCTTTGAAAGCATCAACTTTTGAGAAATCATTAGAAGTAGATTAAAATATCAATTCAATAATTTATTACTACATATCAAATTTTGAATACATAACCAGTTCTTTTTTTTTCCTCTCAAGTTCCCTGTCATAACTGACCTGAAAAATTTTACCAAGGGAATCCAATTTGGTAAAACAAAATTTTATCAGATATTTCTGCTTTACCACTGGCAATTGTCCAGAAAATTTTATTAAAAAGACAGTTTATCACATTCTCCAAAAATTCATGCATCAGCCTTTAGGTAGATGGCAATGATCTTAGACATTCTTTGCTATCGGTTTGTCTTATCTTTGGATATATTTTGTTTTAGATTTCAGTGACAAACATGCTGAAGTTGGAATCATTTCACAAAGTAGCAGTTTAATTGATACAGAAAACTTTAGCATTGCACTGCCTAGCTATCTTTTTAAATAGTCTTCATTACTTTTTATATTCCTACAGTCTTGATATCTATATTCATGTTGAAACACACAACTGGCTCAAAAACTTTGTGACAAATTCTTTACGGACATTTTATCTACTTGAGGTACCATGTCTGAAAAGAGATCATTTTTCATCAATGTGCCATTTTATGCATATATGTTATTTTATCCACAGTTAAATAATTTCCAGATGGCACTGTGTCTAAAGTTGAATTATTTTGCCTTGGAGGTATTTAAGAACTAATGAAACTTTATCAGCAGCTGATAAAATCAGATTTGTCTGGTATAAGTACTTTTATTTTAGCATCTTAATATGTCTTTGACAGTGGAACAATCTGTTTCATAACTGTCTATAATTCAGCTTGTTTTTCATGTTGATTTGATAGCCATCTTGGTGAAACACATCTTATAAAAATTTAACAGGAAAAATCCAAATTTATTTCTGGTGGGTCCTGTGTGTTGTCTGTTTTACTAATTATAATTTTATTTATTTACTGTATACAGGTAATAATATTGTTTAAGATTTTATAACAAAATGCTTACCCAAAACATTTATAACATCCAGTACTGGGATTGCTGGATTATATTGTAGTGGTAAAATAGGGTGAGAATATATAACAATAATGTACTGTACATATTTAAAAGCTAGAAGAAAGTATTAAATTTAACCATTAAGAAATTACAAATGACATATTTGAGGAAATATATATGCTTAAAATGATTTAAACATTACACATTATATACATGTGCTTAAATATCATGTTATTCCTTTAATAAGTGGTGTGATTTTAATGTTTCTACATAACAGTTAAAATTTTTGAAAAGTAAGTATTTATCAACTCATTCTTTTACCCAGGTCTTTTGTATTTTCTTTTGCTTATTTTCATTTTTTAGGAATCATAGGGCACCATGCTATGTTTTAAAGTCATTTTATTTTCTAAGGGAAGTAAGCATATGAAGTGTATGGAAGATTCAGTGTTCATCCTGGTGAGGTGGTGAGGAAGATTTGGGAATATTGCTGTTAGACCGGGAGAACACCTTTGACAGAGCTGAAGATACCTTTGCCAGCATTTTAGATCCTTGTTTGGGAATACTGGACTTCAGAGTTTCTGTGGACAAAAACAAACAAACAAACAAATAATAAATAAATACAATATGGATGTTTATTAAATATTTTAATTGATGCTGTTATATTAGGGTAATGGTGTTCTAGAATTCTGAAGTTGATACTTACAAAATAATTTCTAGAATTTAAAGAACATCGGCAAGGATTGGTTTTACTTGACCCTTGTGACACTCCTATGAAGTTACAGGGAGAAAGAGACCTTCTATTTTTGGACATTGAAACTTGGCAAGGTCACATATCTTGCCTAAGATCATATGAGTAAAATTGTTCAAAGTTGGGAGTAGGATCCAGGCTCCCTGACTCTCTTGGCCTCATTAGGCATACCTCACACCTTGAGGTATCTCCAGTCAGGTGTGGAAAGCCCCTCTCTTTTTCTCCAGGAAAAACAAACTCACTGAAACTGCCCAAAAAACAGAATTGGAAAATAAATTTTGGCTCTACATTGAGAGTATCTATTTCAGAATGGTCAATTGAAAGCAGAAGTGCATTAAAAATGCTATGATTTCTCACCCATGTTGGGTAAATTTTTTGCTGACAGGTCCCCAGTAATATTTTGGCTCAGGTAAGAGAGGACTGTATATGCAATTAAGTTTTATTTGGATTCATTTATTTTGTACCATTTATTCAGCACATGGTTCTCTTAGAGAATATCATATTTCTGTTTAACAAAACTATTATTTCATATATAGGAGGAAAAAGAAGCATTAATGTGCTTTTCTGATCTTCATGATAGGATATGAAAATACCCATGGCACCAAGAATCCATAATTTCTTTATTGCAGTATATTATATTTAAAAATCAGGATTTTTTAAAAATATAAAACTTTCATGTTACGCTTGAGAAGCGGTAAGACCTGAAATAGAAAATCTGGCAGTGATTGAAGCTCTGGTCTTCAGAGGAAGTATGCTGTCTCCAGTGAGTCAAAGACTCTTATTCAACCTACTGCTTTGCTTACATTACTACTTTGCTGAGTATATGAACTATGATGATGCTAAATGAGCTTTGGATTTGAAATCAAAGCAGATTTGTGTTTGCATCACAGTTCTACAGTTTACTAGCCATGTAGTGACCTTGGAAAACCTACTGTAATATTCTTCCTTATTTATTCTCATTTTCCCTCTCTAATAAAATATGAATAAATGTTAGTTGCACTGTCTATTGACCTTTGGGTGTGAATTTAAAGAAAAATGACTGCCCAATAAGCTTTAAATCAAATAAATCAGTTATATAACTATATCTAATAGAGAATGGAAAGGCCACTCTCAATTTATATATCATTTTACCATTTATATAAATATTTCTATTCTAAATTGCTAACACAGAGAGAAGGGCCATTACTTCCAAGAGTATAAATGATGAAAAACTCTAAATTCAAGATGATGTAATTGAGAACTTTATTTAGTTGTTAAAATGATAGTATATTTTGTACCTGCAATGACTTCCTTTGAGGGATATGCTTTACCAGCAGAATTCTTTGATCCTTCAAAGATGTTGATAAACTGCCAAGGCAAATTGACATATTATCCTACTCTTCTTTGGACAAAGGATACAGCACAACCATTATGTCATCTTATGTAAATAAAATCTGTACTCTGCACCCTAAAGCCATTGTTCTCTGAAAGTTAGGTTCATAATTTTTGCCAGTGATGATTCCTAGGATTATTCTTTGTTATGAATGTAGACTTTGGGTACCACTACATGATACTCAAGGCTCGGCCATATTAAATAATGAAAAATGTCAGCTCCATCTTCCTATTTCCTCCTTTGGGTTAATTGAAGTTACAAATCTTTTTTAGAGAAAAGATAAAATAATAGAGGAGAAAGAAAAGAACGCTCATTTCCCAACTCTTAATTACCTTTTATGGAAATCTTAGTCATTGCGTCTGTAGAAATCAAGTGACTGTGTTTACCTATTAGCTGGGATCATGGCTCGGATACTTGCTTTGTTCTATAGACCTGAGCAATTTCTTTGAATGCAGGAGCAGCATTTATCCCAAAAGGACAGCATGTGAACCACTATAAAGACATCAGTTCAAGTTTTCAAAGCTTTTTTTTCTATGTAATTTCAAGTCATTTCTATCTGTGTATAACTTAAGGGAGACGATATTTTTAGGGGTTCCCTTTTTCAGTGTCCCTCCTTTCTATCGCTTGCCTCAGAGTTTCTGCTGCTTAGCCTCCCCTTTTCGAGTTCTATGGCTAGAACATTGTGCTGCTAACCTCCCTGTACGTGCTATCTCATTTCCTAAGACTCTGTTCTACCACCATGGTGAAGTAAAAAGAGAAAGCAGAGGCAAAAATAACAGGTTTATGCAATATTCTTCATTCTCCTGAGGGCCCTAATATCTCTGGCATGAGAGAAAAATTTTCTTTCAGAATTTTAGGTTGCGTTTCAGCAGCCTCTTCTACTGCTGACATGCAGCTTTAAAACTGAAACTTAAGTCAACCCAAGTCCAAAGGAAAAGGGGAGTGGAAAATAAAGCAGAGTCCCCCTACCCCACACACAGTCTCTACAGGTATTTATCCTCTAACTCAGGTCAGAAGGCAATGACTTTGCTTAAAACTTTATTCCACCTAATCCCTCTGTGAAATTCCAGGTTTGAACTGCTCCAATTCTAAACAAGAAAATGAAGGAAGAAAAAGGCCAAGAAACTCACAATGATATTGGTTTTTCTTTGAGTTTTACTTCCTGGCCCAAATGCCTGCTATCATTTATTTTCAGGTCCTCAGTACTTGTTTAGGGTTTTTAGTTGTACTCAATGAGAGATACAGTGAACTGTGCTTATTCCACTTTAGCTGGAATTGGACTAGAAAACTACTTAATCAAGTTTTACTGTGGAAAAAGTAGAAAATGAGAGAAAGAACAAAGTGGAAAGGGTTCAGGTTAGTTAGAAATTCAGATTTGGCACAAGAAGTGTCAATAAATTCTCAGATTAGAGTCTCAGTTTTAGAAAGTGTGGCCTAAGTAAAGTCTGAGATTTTTTTTATAGATGTTTCTATTCATAAATAAAAATTAGGATGACTGGGAACTAATATAGTATGTTTGGAAATTTAAGTATTAGTTATAAGATTTTAATAATTGTTTCTGAAAAGTGTGCCATCTTTTGATACTGAGAAGTGACTAGAAAATTGACAAATTGTGCATTTATGGAGGTAGGGGACCTACTTCAAAGCTAATTAAATTCATCCAGGAAGAAAACAAGGTGAGTAAAAAAGAAAGAAAATAGAATCTGTTTCTTTATTCCTTATTAGAAACAAGGAGGATTTAGGAAGAGGAAATTCCCTGGACTACACTGGGGCTGATGTTGTCTACATAGAATCTGTCCTTGGGAATACAGAGAAGTAGGTGGAATAAGCACTTGCCTCCTGCAAGTCTTTGCCCCTCCATCTTTGAAAGTGCTCCTTTCTCCCTACCTCCACCAAGTCCTGGGGTCTACCCACTCTAGCCAGAGTTATATGACTTACTTCCTCTAGGTTTCTCTCTAGAGATGGAAGTAACAGAGCTAATCAGTGGAAAAGAATTTAGGTGCTAGAGAGAGCCAGTGGCTTTATCTTGCACCTAAACAAGGAATGATGATTTAACCCCAGGGGGTGAAGATTTTCATTAAGAGATTTTCAGATGCTAGGGACAGGTCTCAGCCACAGGGGACAATTTGTGAATACCGGAATGCTTCCTGAAGTTTCCCATATCATACCACACAGTGTCTGGACTTTTAAAACTGGGCTATACTTAACTGGACCCTATTGTGCACCAATTATAGGCTAATGAAAAACATTTACCTTAATGCTGCTTGAATTCTCTGGCTTTTGTTCCTGAGAACTTGCTATAGGAGGGGGAAACAAAGAAAAACAGACATTTTTTTTCCCCCTGAGGCTTATGTATTTGTTGACACAAACATGTTATTACATTTTTTTATCAAAATTATATAATTTAGCATATAAAATTATGATTTTTAAGTACATAGACAATGAGCTCAATGCTGAAACAGGTGAGAGTTCTTGAATGTTGAGGTATGTCTTAGGGATTATGACAGATGAAGTGTGATGTACTAGAAGAGGCATGATGTATAACTCAGGAGGAAGAGATAAGCCTGGAAGGATAGGAAGATGGGCTCCTGGGTAACTTCCTGGATAGTAGAGAACAAATAGCAAATAGTTGCTAAGAAACCTACAAAAAGGCTGCTTTTAAATCAAGACCTATGTGACTGGGGGGGTCTATGCCTCTCCAAAGAAGGAAAAATACCTGATCAATATTCTGATTGGACTAAAACCTACATGAATACACTGAATGCCTTAACAGGGATTGGGCAGGGGGCTGACTTCCTTAAACCTATAGATCTATATAAACTGCTAGACTGTAGCCACTCTTTGGTATCCCTCTCTTGGGATCCCTTCCTCTTTGGGAGATCTTCTTTCTTTCTATTACTCTAATATATCCCGTTACTTTGCTCTTATCCTTGCGTTTGTGGATTTTAATCTTCAAATTCATCAAAGAACCCAACACCACACTCCATGTTACATATTCAAAATCATTCTGTCCTTATGATCCTGTTTATCAGGTGATGAGGGATTACTCTGCAGAAGATTCCTAAAGGCCCTTCCAACTCTAACTCTCTTCATGCATAATTAATTAAAAGAAGATACTTGAAATAAAAAGTAAAATGCTGATATAAATATCACTACAAGAGAAGTTTTACAAAGACCCCGTACTAAGGAAGCAGCTAACATGCTAAGGGGTCAAAAAGCCTGCCCCCTGAGTCTTAGCTTCACTCCCTAGGGCTATGAGAACTCTGGCAAATTGCATATAACTTCTTTAACTTAGTTTTCTCATATAGAGAATAGATGTGAAATTCCCATCTTACGGGGGAACACAAGGAAAAACATGCAAAAACTATGAAGTCTATACACATGCAATCATCAAGAGTCAACAGTTACTCTTCAGTCCACTGAATATTCTAGAAGTGAAGAGTAAAATCCCAATTAACTGAATTATGAAAGAGAAAACTTAAATTATTTGCCAAAAATTGGTAAAATTTTATGATTGCTTATCAATATTCTTAAAGTGTCTTAATCAACTTTATATTGCACATAAGTAAACCTGACTATAAAGTGACTGAGTTTATTTGGGTTTAATGCCAGGGCCATCATTGCAAATAGGTTTTAAATTTCTAAGCTATATAGGTATCAGAACTCCTACATAAGCTAGAAAGTTCTTTTGATGAAGACATGCAGAAAAACTCCTCATATTTAAGTGGCCCAAGTATTTAGATTTAATTTATTTGAGATGCTTTTGTGGATTCTATGAATGTAGGGATATATATGATCCAGCCTGATCTCTTTATTGAACTCTATAGATTTTACATCCAATTGCTTATGTGACATCTCAACTTGAGTAGCAAATGGATACCTCAATCTAAGTATAATCAAAACATTTACATTCTCCCTCGTATACCATTAGCTCATCCTATAGTTTCTACTATCTCACTAATTGCTCCCCTCTACTATAACTATATGCCAACATACTGCTTCGGGTTTGCTCACAAAATGTGAGCAGATATAAATCTCCACCTTCATGAAACTTACATTTTAGAGAAAGACAGTTACTAAAATATACAGTTTGCCAATGCTGGGGAAAAGGAAAGCAATGAGGTGGGAAAGGTAGGGCCATGAAAGAAATGGATTGCAGTTTCAGAGTGTGTTCAGAGCGAAATGGAGAATGTGACATTTGAGCAAATTTTTATGGCCTGTAAAAAGCAATACAGATATAGGAGAAAGAACCCTACAGAAGTATTTGCAAATGCAAAGACCCTATATTTCTGAAAGGGCCAAGGAACAGAAAGTTCAGTGAGTCTAACAGAGGTTATAAAGGTAATTGGAGGTTAGGGTAGTGCTCAGCTGACGATTTGTAAGCCATTGTAATGACTTGTGATTTTGTCACAGATGGAAAGTAGTTTTAATGTCTGGAATTATCTTATGTCCTTACTCTTCAACTCCTCACCCCAAGTTAAAATGTAAATTCCACAAGAGCAAGGACTTTGTGAGTCTTGTTAACACATGAAGTCATAACAAAAAGGAGATGCTCAGTGAAGAGTGAATGAACATATAGATAAATAAATTTTTGGTAACTTTGAATTAATGAATAGATAAATGAGTAGCTTGGACAGTCACAGTATTTTGAATTATTTAAGAACTTAAGCTTGATCACAGCAACAAACAAAACAAATGTACGGAACTTAAGGGCAGAAGTTGAGGTCAAGATAGGACTGTGTTTTTGAAAAGGATTGAATTAGACAGTTTCTGTTTGCAACTAAAAGCTTATGATTCCAAAGTGCAGAAAACATGTCAGTGGTTACTCTGATACCTATAGGTTAGGGTATGTTCATGGAATCCAGGAATGACTACTGCTGTGTTATGGATTATCTTAATGAAAATTATTCCCACTTTCAAATTTTCTCTTGAGTGGTTTGCATGGTGGTGATAAACATGTAGTTTGAATTTAAAGGCTATTCTACAGTAAACATGTTACTCTACCTTCTTTGTACACTGTCATTGTTACAATTAAATTTATTCTCTTAGGTGTGAACAAATAGAGAATGAAAAGTTTCTAAAAAAGGTCCTAAGGGGTATACACAAATCAATTCAAAAAAGAAAAAAAAAAAAGAAAAGAAGGTCCATACTATTCAGATTTTAACATAAGCAAATAAGTTTAGCTTTAAAAGGCCTTTTATACATTTCAGTTGGACTAAACTATGACACAAAGGAAGCACAACTAAGGTTGTGCTTTACATCCAAGTATTATGGGTTCTTGCTCAGATATCAACTGGTGTGACAATACATTCTTTTACTCTCTCACAGGACCACAATGAATGTGAATTCACAAATCACATCATATACTTTATACCAAAATTATTAATGAAATATTAATAGCAATTCAGATAAGACAAAGTATTTTGGTTCATTTTAACATGTGAGTGATGTAAAAATACATCACTTTGGATCACTTTCCAAAAGTAGAAATGCTCAAAGGAAGAAAAACAATATTAACTTCAAATTTGATACCTAAATAATTACTGAAATATTGAACAACTAATTTATCAAACTGAAAAAATAGTTTCATTTTAAACAATAAGGAAAATGTCAAACCTTGTAATACTTTAGCACTTGGATATGGGTTATAATCTTCTCCTTCACTAAAATAAGAAAAAAAATCATCATTTTTACTTGGATATTTAATAAATGAAAAAATAACTGGTTAAGCAAAATAGCCATCATTCATGCTTCATGTGGGAACAAACGTGTAGTAGTATAATTGCTTAAATTCCAAAATGAAAGAAAATGTTTTCTAAATAGACTTTATATCACCTTTAAAGGTATGATTAAATATACATAAGATTTATCAGCTTAAAAATTTTTAAGTTCTCTTTATTAGAACTGTTTCATTACATGTTAAGTGCACAGTTTTGCAGTATTAAGTGCATTTACATTTTTATTCCACCATCACTACCATGTATCTCCAGAACATTTTCATCTTCCCAACCTGAAACTCTATACCTGCTAAACAACCTAGTTCTCCTCTCTCATCATCACACAGAAACCACTATTCTACTTTCTGAGTCTATGAATTTGACTAGTCCAAGGCCCTTATATAGTTAGAATCATGCAATATTTGAACTTTTGTGATTTGCATGTTCATAACATAATGTCTGCAGTTCCTTGTGTTGAATTTTCACTCCATTGATATGTCATTTCAAGCATGAAAAATTTTCAATTTTGATGAAATACAATTTATTATTTTTTTCTTGCTGTGCTTTTCATGTCATATAAAATTATTATCAAATTTAATGTCATAAAACTTTTCTTCTATGGCCTTTTATAAAAGTTTTATAGTTTTGGTTCTTATGTTTGAATCTATAAACAACATTGAGTCTTTTTATATGATATAAAGTAATGGTGTAACTAATTCTTTTTTTTTGTTGTTTGTTTGCTTTACATATTGGTAATTTTCCTAGTATCATTTTTTGAAAAGTCTACTTATTCCCCATCAAATGGTATCGACATCCTTGTCAAAATTATTTGACTGTATATTCAATGATTTATTTCTGAGGTTTATATTCCATTGCTCTTTATGTCCATCTTTACGTTAGTACTGAACTGCTTGATAACTGTGGCTTTTCAGTAAGTTTTGAAATTAGGAAGTGAGAAAAAAAGCAATGTTCTTTTTCAAGATTATTTTGGCTGTTAATGTTCTCTTAAGCTTTCAGTGAACTTTAAAGTTTTCTATTTCTGAAAAAACTGGTATTTTGATAATAATTCTTTTAAACTTGTAGATCACTCTGAGTAGTACTGACATATTATATTGTTATTTCAATCCATGAGCATGGGATATTTTCCAACTTATCTGTGTCCTATTTGATTTATTACAAGAATATCATAGAGTTTTTGGTGTACATCTTTCTCTTCCTTGTTTAAGTTTATTCCTAAGTATTTTTTTTTTTTTGTTTAATGCTAGTGTAAATTCAATTTTTCCTTAATTTTCTTTTTGGATTGTTCATTGTCTATGTATAGAAAAACAACCATTTTTAGTATTAACTTCACAGATTGCAATTTTGTTGAATTCGTTTATGAGTTCCAATATGATTTGGGGAGATAATTTAGGGTTTTCTATATATAAAATCTTATCATCTGGAAACAGGTCATTTTACTCTTATTTTTCCTATTTGAATGCCTTTTATTTCTTTTTCTTGCCTAATTTCTCTGGTTGTGTCTTCATGTACTATGTTGAAATGGCAAAGATAGGTGTGCTTTTGTTATTCCTGTCCTTGGAATAAAAATCTCCATTGTTACCCCCAGTGAGGACAAAATTAGCTGTAGATTTTTTTCACATACAGCCTTAGTGCTCTTGAGATGATTTCTTTCTAATACTAGTTTGTTGGGTGCCATTCTCATGAAAAGATGTTCAGTTTTTTCAAGATTTTTCTTATGCCTCAATTAAGATAGGCATATATGTTTGTTGCTCCTTTATTCTGTTAAAATGGTATATTGCATAGATTCTAGGCCTAGATCCAAAAAATACTCCACCTTTGTCTATCAGAGCTTCTAAAATAATTTTCTCAGGAAGTCTATAGACAGGTCAAAACATTTAAAGCAAATAAGAAAACAAAACATTGAAAACAAATTTCCTCTGAGGGAAAAAATGTAACTGGACTCTGCTCCCATGATGGGAGGAGGTTGGGTAAAAGTAAGAAAAAATCCATAGAACTGTTCTTCTCTATTTTCAGGGTGGTTTTTCTCTTCATTTGTTTGCTGCAGATATTTGACTGGTTTACAGAGTTCTTAAAAACTTGTTTTAGTCTGTTTATAGTTGTTTATTTATTTATTTATTTTGTTCCCATAGCCTGAGAATTCTTTTGGGACCATCTTACTCTAAATTGCTTTTTACTTAGTATTATCTGTGCTCCTTCTCTACTTCACATATACAAATAATAAAAGGTGCATGAATTACTAATTATGCATGTAAACAGATAGTTTTCTCTGTATACCCAATTCTTCTCTGCAGACAGAAAATAACACCTCTTTGTGGTTATAAATATAACAACAATAAACTTAACAACGTTTTAACAATAATTTTAAGAATTATTAATAGAGTTACTAATCCGATTTTAAGCCTACAATGAACTTTGTTTCTCTCTGTACTCTGTAACTGCTATAACTCACATACTTTGTTCCTATGCAATCCAAATTTGGATTTGTCTTTTTGTCATGTAAATGATATCCAGTATTAAAAGACACATCAAAATTTGTTGAGTTCTAGAATTCATCTCCGAAGCTTCCCACTTACATTCTTCCCTCTCCTCTTTTGATTGTTCTTACAGGCAGCACAATATACTAGGAAATTTAGCTTAATTACCAGAGTTGAACAAAAACCCTTTTGTGATGATGCTCCATATTCTATTGCTGACCCAATACCTATCTCTCAGGTTAAACAATACCATAACACATTAGCAAATACCTGTCTGATGTAATTGACATTTTGTGATGATACTCCATATTGTTTTAATTTCATGTACCTTGTATTTGAAATGAGATCTTGATTATATGAAGATGTACTCATAATTCTGTGTATGAAGTAATGTGCTGGTTCAGTAACTAGAGTCTTTTCTTCTTTCTGTAAAATTGCAAATAAGGTGTTACAAATATGAGTTTGATATGCACTTTTTCATCTTATTGGCATTTTTGCAGTCTAACCTACACTTAAGTGAAAAAAGTTTTGGAATTACTAAAAAGATTGGTGAACTCTATCACTCTAGTTAAAATGTCTCTTCCAGTATAATTCTTTTAAAATGGCTCAGAGAGATGTTCTAAATTATTATATTGGTTTTTGAATAGATTTTAAGCATAAACCAGGTAAAGTGTTTGAAGGATATAATTTTATATTTCTAAACTATAAAAACATTTTAGCCATATTTTACGTAAAATAATTCAGATATAACTCTGGACAATTCAGAAACTTGTGAGGTCAATCATCTTTAAATATACTCTGATCTATCTGTGGGGAAATCATGGACTTCTGAATTGACTGAAGTTGTATCTTCATTTTCTCTGGTTAACCTCAGTTTTTGTGTTAACCAGGGACATCAATCACATCAAATGCCTAATCAAGAGAATTGTCTCATCAGGGAATCCTAAATTATATATTCTCCAAAACACAAAAATAGCAGAAATTTTTGGACAGGGCCAAACCCCAAAGGCCATTTAGGCCAGATTATCATTTGAGGATTTGGAAAGAATAACATGAAATGTTCACCATGATGATAGTGAAATTAATGTCTGATTGTAAAGGTGACAGATATTCAAAATACATTGATTAACTCGTTAAATTCTGGAAAATGGGCTAAAGATTATTTAAGAAGTTCATATGTACTTTGTCTAAAGGTTAGATAGTTACTAAGTGATGGTCAATATACAAACTCAGACAATCTGATTTTCTTTTATTTGGGGGCAGGTGGTAGTGCTGGGCATAGAACCTAAGGCATCATTCATACTAGTTGGGATTCTGAATTTCTATGGATCATTTCAACTTCCTCTACAACAATCACCCTCCACAAAAGATGTTCAATAAGTGATTATCAGTTCAAATACAAAAGGACTGGAATCTATTGTTTAAATAATTAGCTTGCATTTCTCTTAACTAGTTTCTATTTTCTGTTTCCCTTGAGCTTCTAATTAATTTAGATTTCTTTCCATTATCTGTTTGTTCCTCAGTTCAGTTTCTGAGTTCTATATTAATTCTCCCTATACTTTAAATATCTATAGATTTAGAAGAATAATGAGGTCATTTTAGTATTCTTTCTACTTAAGGTACATTTTTGGACAGAGTTTGTGAAGTTCCCTATCCTTTCTATTCACTGATAGTCATGTTTCTCACTTACATTATGTTGTGTCTTTTTCTGTGGAGGAGAGTCTGTTTCAGTCAAGGTTTTTAAAAAGGGCATGCCAATCTCAGCAGCAGTTCTTTGAACTTGTGTGTCATGAGATTCTAGTATCAGATTTGAGGTTGTTTCAATACTTTCAGTATTCACACCATTTGTAGTCTGACAACATTTGCTTATTGATAAGATTTTTTTCAGGTTGCTTGCACTTATTATTGTCTTGGAAGAAGCAACTTTGCTTTCTACTGTCATCCCAAATTCTTTCTCTTGATCTTCAGATAGTTCTCCTAAGCTTCTTTGAACAGCAACCTCACCTAAAACAATTTCATCTTCATCAGAAATTACTTCCTCGGCTACATTATTTCCTGGATGATCTTGATTAATATCATGAGCTACTAACCGAATGATCAGATCTTTTGAGGTTTGAACATCTTTTAAAAGCTCTACTGTAGTGATATCAGGCTTTTTTATATTCTGAAATGAATGTCTGCAAACAGCCTGAAATTAAAGGTACAACATATATTAGAAACAAATCTCAATCACATTTCCTGTGGTACTATTGTGATATTGCTCTTTTCTTATAATTTCTAGCTTCAATTTGAGTAATACCTTCTAATGCCACTTACTAGTGTATTACCAGTATTTTAAAAAGAAGAAACAAATAAAATAATAGGAAATATTTATTGGTGTCTATCATTTCTTTTACATTGAGATTATATTAAACTATTATAACATTCCATAAGGCATGTCTAACATGAGTTGTTGCTTAAATGTTATATTTTGTTGCAAAATAATTTTATTACTTTCAATTTTTCTCATTTCTCTTGAAAGTTTTGTGACAGAAGAAGATATAACAACTTATTTTTAAATCCTAGGTAGGAAATCCTAGAAAATCTAAATACAGATACTGAAAAAAAAAAGGCAAGATATTGCTTGATCTTCACTCATAGAAATAATGAGTAGCCAAAATTATGAGCTTTGAATTTTCGCTTTTCACTCCTCCACTCTTGATCCTTTGGACATATTTTCCAAAATATTATTTAAAATATAAATCTTCATTATTTTTCTCCTTCCTAGTCAAATCTTAAGTTCTATTTTCAATGTTAAAGACAGATAAAAAATATAATTATAATTAAATAAACAAATTACATCCATTTTGTGGCCTTTGACCAGGCCATAGAATCTCTAAATTAATAATCTTGAACCCAACCTTCCTTTGTAATATTGCAAGCCAGCTTTTCAGATTATGATGCCTTAAAGGAATATTTTCTATAAAAACAAACAATTAGAAGCAACTCTTTAAGAAATGAAAAATAATCAATTATCCTTTGTGGTGGAGGAAAAGAGTGGGTTAAAAAAATATTCCAAATCATTCTTTATAGTTTTGGTATTTGCTACTGAATGTTATTTTAAAATCATATGTCTGGTGAGTTCAGAACTTGTATCTCAAAACAAAGAATTAATCTCTGAGGCAGAACCAAAAATTGTCTGTACTATCTGAGTTGATCTACTGTTCTTCTTTTGTTTCTTTGTTGTTTTGTTTAAGATAGACAACATGCATCTCAGATTGGTGTATAAAATCTGTAATTTATGCACCTTAACTAAAGTCCCTGGGGATGCTGGGGTATTTTTTGTTTGTTTGGTTAGTTTATACAAATTTCTTTTCTTTCTCTTAAAAGGACAGAGGCATTAGTTTGGTTTAAACATTGATTTCTGTGGTTTTATTCCTTAAGAGAGTCAGTAACTTATGGCTTTCTGTGATTTTATTACTTAAGAGAGTTGTGAGCTAAGAGTAGGATTTGTGACAAAAAATTCTATAGATAATTAAAAACTGATCTTAGCTAATGGTATTCTATAGTCTGTTTATGCACATTTTATTTCCAAGTGATTACTTATATATAAATAAATGTCACTATGTATGTGCTAAATTAATGATGAGAATTCAGATGGAAAAGAACATTTTACAACTAAAAGGGACCATTACCTATTCCAAAACCAAAGGATAAAGATTAGAGAGTCTCAGATATGATAGTTTCAGTATTTGGCTTTGAAAACACAAATGATCTACTGATTCATTTATCAGCCTTGAGATTTAGTTCAGTGAGTTGCAGAACTGTGCTGAGTTTATGTTCCAGGGAACATGGTTCTATAAATCTTTGTTAAGTATCCAGTTCGTAGACTACAACCTTAAGCACTCACAGCTCTTTTATAAATGAATAACTATCTATACAAGGAGCTTTGATGAAAAGCGAAATGTGCAATGGGTTAGTATAACTATATCCACTGGCAAAATAATTCTGTTATATTCGTTAATAGTTTTCTTGTAATAAGTACATAATTTTTGACGTTTTGAAGTCCCATTAAGCTTAATATATTTGAGGCATGAATATGAGGCTCCAGGGCAGAACTACATCCACAGAAATGGGAACAGTTTCCTAAAAATAACAACATTAGGACAGTTGGGTCTACAGCAGGGATAGAAGAGGAAAATATCTGGGTACATCTTGACTGTATAGGGCAAATGTGAAGGGCCAATGTAATTAAATGAAATCATAAGAACAAGCTTAATCTAATAGCATTATGTTTGCTGAAGAATGTTGTGAAAAGAAAAGTAACACTATTTAGAAGACTTAAATTTGAAAATCAAAACTATTTTAGATGGTTTCAGGTATCCTGACATTCCACTAACTTGTCCTTTAGAATACTGTTAAATATCCATAATGAAGAATTAAAAGAATTATACACTACTATATTTCTTCTGACTCTTCAAATGACAATTGTACCTTCAATCAGTGTAGTACTACTGTTAAGGACATGTCTTTATATTCCCATTCTTTATAAGATAAAAAGCTATTTTAAGTGAATTATTCTAGGAAAACTTGCCTGAGACCTTTAGAGTGAATCAAGGTATCAAATGAGTCTTAGTAAACCAGATAACTGTGTGGACAAACTGGTGAAACCAATTCCCTTTTAGGCTAGGCAACAACAACAAACATGCATTCCCATTTAACTATCAGACTAAAGAAATCAGAATCACCGTGTCTCATTGACCACTGCCTTTACACTTACCTCCAAGGGTTTTATATCTATTCGTCCTGTCTTACTCAGTGTGGTTCGTCTTTCTTTCTGTCTCTTTTCTGAATCAATTGGTTCTGTAGAAGAGTAACTTTTCCCACTTATTGATGCTCTTCTCAGTTCTGCTATGCTATGTCCAGTTCTTCTTATACATTCCATTTTAAGCTTCTCAAGAGGTTGGGTTTTTACAGAAAGGACTGTTAAGTGTTCTGAAACAATCTCTGGATCTATTTTGATTGGTTTTTTCCTAAGATATGGAACTATTTTAATTGTAGAGTTTTCTTCATCTGGTTCTTCATTATCTAACTCAGGCATAATTTTGAGAACATGGTTTTGTGCCTTGTCAACAATTCTATTAACATCCAGCTCTCCACAGAAATGAGAGTTTGAATTCTTTGTGTTAATGCTTTCTGATGAAACACTTGAAACTCCATCAATAATCAAACTAGCCACATTCTTAGGAAAGACTATGCTTGTATCTTTGGTGTCATAAAATTCTTTATTAGTTTCAGATTGTTGAAATACATTGCTATAAACAGAATCAATAACCTGAGAAATCATTTCCATGCTTTCTGGTTCTAAAGACTGTTCTTCAGAATCAGCAGCTATAAGAGAAATATTACTTTTGGAAATTTCAGCAGTTACATTTTTTGTCAGTTGAGATGCAATTTTACTTAACTCTGGCTTTGTTAAGTTGTTTGTGTCTTTGCTTGATGCACTTGGCAATCTTAAAAGTTTAGCCAAAAACAAGGCTAGTGCTTCCTCTAAAACCTTGGCATGTAACACAGAACCTTTTCTGGATGAAGACTTTTCCTGGGACTTAAGTTCATCAATAATTTTGACCACTTTTTCCATAATTTGTACAGCTTCCAGAGCTAATTCTGAGCTTGATACTTCTTCCCCTCCTTGCAGTTGAAATTCAGAATTGGAAATTTCTTTCACCATTAAGAAACCTATTATATCAGAAAGGACATTGCTCTTACCCATTAAATCTTTAAAAACAGATGTATGAGAGCCAGAGTGTTTTAAAACATTGTCATAAACAGAATTAACTATGTTTTCAATAGATGCATTGTCAGCTAAAGGTACAGTAGGTGATTCCTTAGTTGATGATACAAGTTTAATCTTACTTTTAGAGATAAATTCTTGGAATGATTTTAATATTTTTAATGTTATATTTTGAATTTCATTTTCTAGAGATTTGGTTATTTCTTTACCTCCCTTTGGAAACACAGAAAATAACTTAGATAAAAATTTTATAGCAATTTCTTCTATTACATTATAAGACAGTTTATGAGCCTGTGATGATTCAGGTGAAGCAGTTTGAATAATATCTTTAAGGATATTTTCAACAGTACTATCAACTTCTGCACACTGATGTGGAGTTAACTTTCCACAAAAATAGTTCTGCAACTGATTGCCAGCAGCTTCTCGTAGAACTAAATCAACTATGGTTTCTAAAAGGAGTCTGCATCCACTAGCTACACAATTTTGTATGACCTCTGTTGTTCCAAATTGTGGCAACAAATTATTATAAATAGACTGAACCACTAAATGAATGATCTCATCATCATTGGGGTGTAAGGATTCTACATATTTCACAACCATATTTTCATTTCTAGAGATTTCTTCTGCAACTGTATTTACTAACTTCATTTGAAGAAAATACAGTTCTGTGGATTTTTTTCCCTCAGGTGATTTTGCTTTGTTTTTGCTGTTGGATATTGATTGAAAATTGAAAATTTTTGATAGAAGAGTAGAAATCACATCCTCTAAAAATCTATGAGGCAACATTATGGTATATGGTGATGATGTTTGACATTCTTTGCTGGCTGTTTGGACCACCTTTTGGACTTTTTTGACAACTTCCTTAGATTCTAGAGGAAAACATGCTGAATTTGGAACATCATCACAAAATATCAAGTTAAGATGATGTTGAAAAATTTCATCTATCACTGCACTAGTTATACTTCTTGCTAAATTTTCCCTGTTACTGTTGATTTTCTTACAAATAGATTCCTGAGATCTATTCTCCTTCAAAATATTGCAAACAGAAGAGTGAACAACTTTATTGACTAATGTTTTATCAATTGACTGGCTTTTTTCTACGGAAGGTAACTTATCTGAACGTGCTTCTTCAGTCATTTTATGCATATGTGACACTTTATCTACACTTTTAGCCTTAATACTGGATGATGCTTCGTCTGTAGTTGGTTCTTTACACTTAGGAAGTCCTGTCGGATCTGAAGATATTTTATCAGCATGTGGGAGAAACTGATTTCCCTTATGTGGCCTGAACACCTTAATTTTAGCATCTGAAAACTCCTTTAACAGTGAATCAATGAGTTTCATAGCGGTTTCATAGAGTTCAGCCTGATTTTGATCATCATTTGCTTTTAGACATTTATCACATATTTGTGGTTCGGGTGAGGAAGAAAAAACCAATATATTAACAATTTCACTGATAACATCTTCTAAAAAGTTAGCCGGAAAAACTGCAGGTTTATTTCTTGGTAGGTGCTGAGGATGGTCAAGTTTACTAGGTTTAATTTCAGTATTTTTCTGTCTTGCACATTCTCTTTCTCTCTTTTTCTCATTTTCTTTTTCCTTTTCCCCTTCTTTAACTTTTTCTCCTTCTTTCTTTTCTTTCTCTTTGTCAAGGACTTTTTCATTAATCGAAGGGGATAAACCCTTTTTAACAGACTGTGCAGAATCATTGTCAACCACCTGAACTATATTCAGTGCTTTATCACCTGGAGAGCTTTTTCTATATCTTGGTTTTGATAAATCCAATGGTTCTTGAGAAGATGATATTTCTAAAACATTCTCATAAATATTTTCAATGACATTTTGAACACATTCATAACCTGAATATGGTATTTCATCCACATGTATATGAGCTGAAGGGTTTCTCGTTTCTTTATTGCTTGGCTTTTGGATTATTTTTGAAGTTTTGTCTGTTATAGACTCCATACTTCTTGCCTTGGGCTTGAAAGGAGATGCCTGAAAGTGTTTGTCAACTTTTTCTATTGGACTTCCCCTGGTACTGTCAATCTTCTTTTCATTGTCTATTTTACAATCTGACCTATGTACATACTTATCATATTCTTTATTATCAGTAGCAACTGAAAATTGTGTGTCCACCCCAGCACCTTGCTGCTCATTTTTTGCAGTGGATTTTTTCTTCTTCTCAATTTCATTATCTTTAAGTTTTTTATTTACATATGGATCTTGAGCCTCCTTCCTTTTCACAGTGGTGGATGGAATAGTAACTTTTGATACATTCTCACTATGTTCTTTAGTATGAATTCCCAGTTTATTTTGATTCTCTTTCTTTTTATTTGCTACACCTGCAGCTGACTCTGATACTAGGTTAAACAGATTGCTGTCCATAATGGCATTTATAGAGCTGATTATTGAATCTTGGATGTCACTCTTTCTGCTCACTGCAACTCTATCATCTATGTCCGTAACATTTTTCTGATCTGAGCTTTGAGAACTGTCCTTGTGTGATTGTTCTGGTAAAGTAGGTTGATCTTTTAAGCATCTAGTTATCTTCATAGAGGTTTGTTGTGGTAGGTTTTGAACCCTTTGGGTAATGTTGTCTGGGTTTAGAAATGAAAAGAAAGTAGAAGACCATTCTCCTGAGAATAGTGGTTGAATCTTGAATGTAGAGATGGCCTTCTGGGCTAACGAGGCAATCATTTCTATAACAATGCTACTTTTATCACCTTTCTGAATATCCTTAGATCCATATTTACCTATGAACTCATCATATACAAAATTAGATATATTATCAATTGTCTCCTTATCAATTGGTGGAAAAGAAAATATTTCTTCAGCATGTGGTAAAACTTTAACTTCACTTTTCCTAAATTCGCCTATGAGTGAGTTTGCAAATTTGATAGCCAACCCCACAATATCTGACTCTGGAATTTTTTTGTTAGAATCTTCAGTAATAGTTGGGAAAGGACAAAATTTGTTAACAAGGTCAACAATTACATCTTCTAAAAACGTAGCTGAATACAGAGAATGCCGTTTCTTTTTCTTATCAGATTTAGCAATTACAGAAGCACAATCATTACCAGATAAGTCACTGGAAGATGATTCTTCACCATATAAAAATGGTCGTAAGTGATGATCCATAATTTCCTTCATAATGAAGCTAGCTATCTTACTGAGAAATGAACCTCCTTTTTGGTCTGCTCCTTTCTGTACTTCAGCTTGGAATTCAGATTTTTTCAAAATATTATTACATATGGAGTCAATGAAGTTCTCAATAGCTTCTAATTGCACACTTTCTGAATTCTCTTCTGCTATGGCAAGTCGAATCTCATGTTCATAAATTTCTTTTATAATGTCATCAGTCAATTTTGAAGCTGTGTCCACGGACTTATCATCTGGTATAACCTCTTCCTCTTTTAGTTCATTTTCAGCATCAGTTGAAGGGACAATATGCACTAGAAGCTTACAAATCATATCTTTTAAAAGAGAATGAGGCAACACAGTAACACATGATGGCAAGCCACTGCTATCCTTCGTTATGATACTAAGCACATTTCTGATGATGTTGTCAGCTTGAGGGGAAGAATAGGAAGAAGACACTAATTCTCCTGAAACTAATGACTGTACTTGATAATCATAAATTTCTTCCAATAGCAAATGATATATTTTTCTTCCAAAAGAAGCAGTATCACTTTGTATAGCCCTATATATTTGAATTAGAGATTTATATTCATCTAATAGTTTTTCATAAATTGGATTGACTGTTTTTTGAACCATTTCTTTATACTGCTCTGAAAAACACAAATTTTCATCCAAGTTATCTGCAACTAAAATCTCTGATGTGGTGAACTCTAGAATGATTGATTTTACTAATGTTGTAACAATGTTAGTAATTCTGGCTTTTGCTCCATCTGGGTTTTCAGCAGCCAAGACATTGTGTGTGAATGCATAAAGAATTTTGCATAAAAGCTCAGAAATTACTTCCTCCAAAAAGGCTGCTGAGTTCACAACAAAGGACAATTCTCTTTGTTTAGGATCTATTGCTTTCTGTTTATAAGTTTGATCAGCTGAAGCTGAAAAGAAAGTTTTATCTCCAGATAAAAATGACTGTAGATGATGGTTAAAGATTTCTTTTATTATAAAACTTGCTATTTTTGAAGCAGGTATGTTACTTATACCTTTTTGATCTTTTGCAAGAGATTGGTATAGGTTTGAATGAGAAAGATCAGCATATATGGACTCAACCATAGACTGTATATCTTTTTCTGAAATCATACTTTGCTTTTTATCCCCATGTTTAGTAATACATATTGCATGTTTTGAAATTATTGACATAATTTCCTTTATAAGTTTTATGACTGTATTATTTAAGTCTGATTGGGAAATATCTGTATGTTCTACACTGGAAGCTGATGGACTAATCTGAGACATAAGCTGAGTGACTATTTTTTCCAAGTGAGTATGAGATAACATAGTAGTATACATTGTTGAAGCCTGTCTCCGGAATCTTGATTTACTAATGTCATATTGAACTCTATTTACCAAGACATTTTCATTGAGTTTGGAATGTGACTTAAAAGGAAAATTTGCTATAAGATCCGAATGGATTTGGAAATGAAGTGTTTCAGTCAGAATGATTTTAGTTACCCTTGCAGCCAATGTCTTTATGTCATTTAAGAATTCGTTATCAGGCATAATTTCCCTTTCATATTCTTCTAAAACTTTGCTATATACCATGTCGATAATGTTTTTGACTGTAGCTCTCTCCACTGGAGGCAAACACAATTGTTCCTCAGCATTATCTACAATGCTCACTTGGGCTTTTGAGAATTCTTCTGCTATGAAATGGATGAGTTTTTCAGCTTTATCAAACAGTTCATCTTCTGAATTTTTCACTGACTTCATTTGTACAATGCCTACCACTCTGTGGAATATTTTGCCTAAAACCCCAGAGACTACATCTTCCACAAAAGTTGAGGAATAAGCACCAGTGTAAAGTAATTGATCTCTGATATCATCAAAATACTCATCTGATAAAGATGATAATGACTTTCCATGCACAAATGGCTGAAGATGTTGTTCACAGATATATTTAATGATAAAACCTGCTATTCTATCAATAAAAACATCATTATTGTTTGTGATATTTTGCTGCACTAAAGCTTGAGAATCAGAATTTTGTAAAATATTTTTGAATACTGAGTCAACAAGATGCTGCACATCATCTTCTGAATAAACAGACTTTACTTCTTCATCTTTTGAAAATCGAATTTCATGCTGGGAAATTTTCATCCTAATATCACTGATTAGGTTGGAAGCAATTTCATTAAAATTCATTCTTGATTTATCTTTTGGAGTTTCTCTGTTTGGAACCAGGCTGGATCTAGGAGGAAAGAATCTAGATAATAGTACTCGGATCATATCTTCTAAAAATGTGTATGGCAATAAAGTATTATATGGAGGTAAACTCTGGTTTGACATGATAGATTTACTGATGTTACTGAGGATGTCTTGAACAATATTCTCAGCCATTGAAACAGAATAGGAAGAAGCTGACAAATCACCAGAAAACAATGGATGAAAAAGATAGTTTGAAATGGCTGCCACAATTAAATTGGTAATGTTTTCCACAAAAATAGTACTATCATCTGACTCTTTATCAATATCAGGGTCTAGCCCATGCTGATTTAAAACCTTCCTATAAACTGAGGTGACAAGTTCATCCACAATATCTGTATCTGTAGTGGGGAAAGACTGCTCTTTGTTATCATATGGAATGGGAATTTTAGCTTTGTCCAAATGATTATTCACTGAGTTTATTATTTTATGGGTCATGTTTTCCAGTTCAACTTCAGTGTTCGGTTTTGGGCTAAAAATCTTTGATAAAAGTCTGGTAACAATCTCCCCTACAAGTGTGTCTGGGCGAATACCTAAAGGTGATGGCTTCTGGGGTCCATATGATTCTGTAGCTTCATTGATAACCTGTTTGACCATATTAGACACAGCATCATGTGGAGTCTTTGAACGAGGCCAAACCTCTCCACTTAAAAATGGCTGAAGATGGTTTTCAATAGTCTTCTGGATAATAAAACTGGCTATTTGGTCAACCATAATTGGACTTCTGCTGACTATATTTTTCTGTATAGAAATAAGAGAACCAGACCTTTGTAAAATACTACTATAAATAGAATCCACCATCTTTTCAAGGTTTTCTCCTGTAGCTAGATGTTGATTATCATAGATAGTGAACCAGATTTTATGTTTTGAAATGGCTGACATAACCTTATTTATTATACATGTGGACATTTCATTAAAATCTGAACTCATTAAGTTTTTTGTCTCCAAACAGGAAGGATTGATGGATGGAAGACTGAGCTGAGATAAAAGTCTTCTGATGACATCTTCTAAAAATGAGTGTGGCAACCTGGTGCTATAGCTTTTTGATGGCCTGGGCTGGAAAGTAAAATTTCTCAAGTTATTTTGAAGCTTCTGCAATATAATTTCAGCTTTGAGAGGGTAATATAAATGAGGAACAAGTTTTCCTCTATGGCAAGATGGAAGTTGGTAGTCTAAAATCTCTATCAATATGCTGTCAGCTATTTGTTTTGTTATTGAACTATCACCATATAACAGATTATTGCCACACGTCACATTCAATTCATATTGCTCTACAACACTGCAATAAATTGAGTTAACAATCTTGCTAAGAGTTTCTTTATCAATTGGTGGAAAATATAGCCTTTCCTCAGCATTCCGTAGAACAGTGATTTGAGAATTATTAAATTCATTCACTATATTGTTGACAAACAATATATTCATCTCATTGAGATGGGCCTCAGTGATGTTTGCATTTTTTTCCCACAATGATATAGAGAGATGACAAAACAATTCTGAAATTATTTCCTCCAAAAATGTGGCTGAATAAACACTTGTGGTGTTCATCCCTCTTCGAAGTACTTTGTTAGAAACGGCTATTCTATCCATTTCCTTTGTTTCTTGTCTATTAAGAAGTGACAAAGAAGATTTTACTGTATGTTGCTTGCCAAATGGTGCTTGTAATTTGGAACTAGTCACACTGGGATTACTCAGATCTTCTGTCAAAGAATTACTGTCATAACTCACGAACCCTAAAAAGTTTTTATCTTGTCTTAATTTTACTAATTCTGGTACATTTGCTTTTGAGCAAAATGTAGACTGTATTTCTCTTGTTCTGTATTTCAAATGTTTTTTTGCAAAAGGTGGACTTTCAGGAGCTTGTTGTAAGCTGTGAGATAGTTTGTCCATCAGTGATTTAACCAAGCTGTGGGAAATACTAGCAAGCATACTATCTGAAGACATTAAGTCTTGATCCATGTCTGCCAGATTTTCCAAAAGATCTGACATGTAATCTCCTTGAAGTTGTTCACAGCCCATCAATCCCTTACAATAATCAAAATCACCATCATCTTCACTTTGAAGTATTTTTAAAAGCTGACATTCTTCTGCCAATATTTCACTCGAAAGAGAACCATCATCAGCAAAGACAGTGTTTGTGCATTTTTCCAAAAGTGTTCTAACAAGTTTCTCACACACAACATTGAGAAGAAAAACTGATTTTGGGGAAAGACCTAGGTTATTTGAAAGTGTAAAATTACTTTGTTGATTATTTGGGCAGGAGAAAAGTGTTCCTGGTAGTTTTCCTGATTCCATAGCCTCATCTGGAAATTCATCTGGCAAAAATAAATCTACAACAATATTGAACACCTTATTGACTACTTCTTTGGATTCATTAGTTTTTAAGCTACCAGCAAATCTGTCTAACTTTTTTGCCAGATAACTTAATTTATTATTTTTAACAAGTTGATCAATTTTGTGAGTAGATGATTCCCAGTCTCGTGGACTTATCTGTCTTTCCACTATACTGGTTTTGCTACAAAAGGACCCACTATTGCTTCTAAGCATTGAAAGCGAGTTGTTTCTTCCATTACTTTCAAAGTGATGATTTATTCCTATTTCTTTGGAGATTACATGAATCACTCCTGTTAAGAGATCCTGAAAGAAATCATCCAAGTCAGGAGAAGCTACCTCTGGACAGTATATGTATTTTGTTTTGATGGAACCCATTTGCTGTGTAATTTCAGCTTTTATAATGTTACCATTAGAAAGAATTTCAATAATAATTTCAGAAATACTTAAAGCAAGTTCTCCAATAGAAATTGACCTGTTCTCAAACATTTCAGAATGAACTGAAATAATCTTGTTAAATGCTGCACTTTGGATTTCCCAGTCTTTGTTTTTTTCTCTACCCTCTTCAGTGACATCAGAAATTCTTGAAGTTAAATGGCAAATGACAGACTCAGTGAGTTGCTCACAAAATTGATAAATTGAAGAAGTATTATATATGCTTCTTAGAGGTTGTGTTAATTCATACTGTTTCCTTGAGAGTGTAGAAATAGGAGATATCTTCTCCTCACTGGAAACTGAAAAAAGGAAACATTACCATTTTTAGCATGCATCAAAGGAAATATGGAAAATTCAATATTTTGGAAATCATTTACATGTGTTTCTTACTTTTGGAGCACCTCAATAAAGAAAAAGAAAACCCTTAAAACCCTAATAAAGAAATAAACAGGATTTTCTTCAAATATTTATTTCTCTATGTTGTGGGTCTCAGTTTTAGCCACTAAGTTCAATAATTTTAGAAATACTTAAAGCAAGTTCTCCAATAGAAATTGACCTGCTCTCAAACATTTCAGAATGAACTGAAATAATCTTGTTAAATGCTGCACTTTGGATTTCCTAGTCTTTGTTTTTTTCTCTACCCTCTTCAGTGACATCAGAAATGCTTGAAGTTAAATGGAAGACGACAGACTCAAGTGAGTTGTTCACAAAATTGATAAATTGAAGAAGTATTATATATGTTAATAAGCCTTCTGCCCTCCCCCAAGTAAAATATTTAAGTCATGTGTTAATGTCTTTCTTGGTTGGATAGTTATGAGCTTTAACAAGCTGAAAATCTTAGGCCAGAGAAAAGATCTCCAGTTTTGTTTAAATATATTATCCTGTCTCCAGTGATAAGTAAAGTCTGAATATAATTATTTAAAAATAGTTTTAGTCAAAACATATAATGCATTGCCATACTTTACTTTTAGGATGCCAAGAGGTTGGTAGTAATATCATCTTGATTAAAATAAAAGTGTGACAACTCTAGAAAGGTTAGTGAGAGACTGCAATGGTGTGTTTAAAGTTTTGGAATTCATGCCTCATACATAATAAACATTGCCTGCCTTAAAATAATATCTCTTTTTCTTCACCTGCAGATACAAAAAACTGAACATATAGTTCAGATTCATTTTGTGTGTGTGTTTGTGTGCGTGTGTGTGTGTGTGTGTGTGTGTTGGAAAGTACTAGGGACTGAACCCAGGGGTACTCTACACTAAGTTATGTCCATAGTCATTTTTGAGATAAGATTCTGATAAGTTGCCTAGTCTGACCTTGAAATTGTGATCCTTCTGACCCAGCCTTTGGAGTTGCTGGGATTATAGGCATGTACCACCTCACCTGAATACACCTTTTAGATTCAAATCATGAAAAATTTTTTGACTTTAATATATATTATTTTAACATAATGCACCTCTAATATTGTTTTCAGAAAAATAGAGAATGCAGATTCTTAAACAGAAGATCTTTAAACATCTTTTTACCATTTTCTAAAAATTATGCTAATTTTTAAAATGAATTATCTCTTGCTTACCTCTACTTCTGAAGTTCTTCAAATATGTGATCACTGAGGTAGTGACATGTCTTGCTATCAAATGAATTTCATTTGGACCCAGTTCATGATCAGCAAAAGCAATGACTTCAAATTCTTTCAGAGTTATTATTTTATCTATCTTTGGGTTTTTGTTTTTCCATTTCTGCAATAAGGAAAAATCTTCCTTGTAGGCATCAGGGTTTCTGCTGTTTTCTTCAGGCATACAGCTATCTTTTTTGTCCCACATTCTAAACAAGTTTTCCGTATTCTTTTGTTGTCCAGATATTTCAGATAGAGGGCTTTGTTTTGATATGAAAAATGGCTTTATTGTTTCCTTGCTTTCATTGGTGTGTGGTTGATTTGGAAAGCCATAGCTTGACAGTACAGTATTGACAATATTTTCTGCAGCTAAGCATATTTTAAGTGGAGAAACAGTTGTCTGAATTTGGTTTGGCTCACCAACTGGTTTTAGGGTCTCATAATGAAATACTCTTGGATTTTCACTTTTTCCCATCTCCATAAATGACATGACTTGCTTTAATGATGCTTCTGTGGAGTCGTTTGCTTTCTGAGACAGTTTTTGTAAGACACTGCCTTCAGGAAGGGAGCTATTTCTTTTCATGTCTTCATCATCATTAGGTTTCCTTGGGCTGTGATATTGTACTTTACTTCTAGAACATGATGGCATAGTTTCTGAATGAAGTTCCTCTGACTCTGATCTTTTAATTGTGTCTTCTACAGAGGACCTGTCATATGAGGGTAAATTTGATGAAACCCTGTACTTTGTATTCATATCTTCCTCTGAATAAAACACCAAGTCAGGTACACTTCTTTGTGGAGGATTATTCCTCAAACTATTTTCTTTTAACTTTGATGAGGGTGTTTTTACATTAGTTGCTAATTCAACCTGATTAACAATGTAAGTATTTTCAGTTCTTTGGAACAAACTTTCCTTTGGAAGGTTTTTGATCAAAGACTCTTTGAAATGAGCACACTGATCCATTAGTGTGCCAATGATCTCACTTGCTACAATGTTCTCTTTCAATGTGGGAATTGAAGGTGGATCCACTTGGCTTATTTCTTTGTCTAGCTTGTTCTTGATTGTGCCAAGCATGTCATTGACAATATTAATAGCATATGTGAGTAATTCTGAATGAAATGAATGAACCTGTAGCAGGGTGTTCTGTATGTTTTCCTTAGAAATAGTAATTGGCTTGGATTCATCAGAATTTTTTTTCAGTGGTTGTAATTTTGGCAATATCTTTTTACTTAATAGTCTCTGTTGGACTTGGAAAAGGTTTTCTATAGGCATTTTCACTATTTCAGAAAACTCATATTTGGAGATATGTTTAAACTGCAAGTCTACAAATGACTCTAACATATTTATAACCCTTTCTACAATCTCTCGAATAATCTGGTTGCTAGAGCCCATAGAAACTGAATCCTTTGTTTTCATGTTACAGACTGGTAAACTGTTGAGGATATGCTTTGTTGGAAAACCATGATTGCTTTTACTAGAGATGTGTTCTTTCCTATTTGTTAGATTTTTTTTACTATCTGAAGTGGGCATCTGAGATAAGAAGCACAGCTGTAATTTTTCAAAGAGTATTTCAACAATTTCCCTTCCAAACATATTAATTTGTGCTTTGGTATCCTCAGCTCTAGTAGAACCTTCTTTAAAGTGATTATAGAACCTGCTTTCACAATCCTCAAGAGGTGGCAAATTTAAAAGTGAAAGAGAATATTCTAAATCTTTTGCTTTTATTGAAATTTCAGTCAAAACATTTTCAGCAGTCATCAGTAGCTTAAATTTTTCATTTTTCATGTCATTTGATTCACTTTGCCATTTGTCAAACATTTTTTTAAATATACCTTCCTTTGGAAAAATCTGTTCTAGCTGTGAAGAAACATTCTCTAAGTAAAAGCATGCTTGCTCTTTGGCAGAAGACCCAGCATATAAATCATGCTGTGAAGGTTTGAGATCATCCAGATATGAGAGTTTGATTGGATAAGACAAATTGTAGTTATTTGTAGCATATAATTCTCGCAAAATTGTATTAACTAGTTTACTTGCTTCCATGATTTGATCAGACAGTGAAACTTCCGTATTTACCATTGCTCTAGTTTCCATCTCTCTATCAAATTTTTTCACAACTGATTCCAGAATATTACTTGTTATATCTTTGGCATACATTTTTAGTTCTGAAGTGGGCAATTTTGATTCCAGTAAGTTTTTGGCATCTCCTGTTGATAGGATGCGTGGCAGTCCAGTGAAAGTCTTGGACCAACTATCTATTGAAGTCTTCTCTCCAGTACTTAACTTGATCTTGCTTTTAGCTTTAGCAACAGTAGGTCCTAGGTATGGTTTTGTTTTAAATTTAGGCAAAGAGGTAATTTTTGATCTTCCTTTGAAATTTGCTTTAAGACCTTGCCTAGGGCTGCTCTTAGGGCTAACTTTAGAATTACTTAGTCTAACAGGTGGCAATTCATCAGAACAATCTTTAGGGGAAAAACTCTCTTCTAGATGGAGTGAGATGAACTGTGTGATCATACTAAGAACCATTTGGACTAAATCTTTTCCTATGTGCAATGGTGAATATTGCAAAGAAGTGTTTTCTAACACAGAAATATTTTGACTCTTTGCAGAAGAACACACCTGTAGCATTCCATATCTACAGGCATTATTTGTTTTCCCTGCTTGTTTAGTTTCTCTAAAGCTTGGTAGTTTCATTGGTAAAGTATCATTATTGTCACATATCTCTACTTCTCCCCTTTTGTTTTTGTATAATGATGTCATAACAACATGGTACATTTTCTCCAAAACACTTTCAACTATATCATTTGCAGCACTGTTAATATGTGACTGAAAATTTTTTTTGTGTGTTATACCTGATGTTTTAATTTTATAATTAGACATAAAGGTGGGGATTTCATTATATGGAGGCAAACATCCTAGGACTTCCATTATTCTTTGATCCAAGTTATTCAAAAGATCTTCTACTGCACTGAGTAATTCAGTTTTCTCTTTTTGTTTTGATTCTCCATTTCTCATAAATATTTTTTCCAAAGCATTTTTCTGGCTTTCCTTCTCAAATGTCGTTTGGTTTTGCTCTACTGGGCAATTTGTAAACAGAGATATTGTAGTGCTTTTTGCTTTTTCTTTGTGTTCCAGCAATATTTCATTTGCTATAGTTAATTGTGAAAAGTTATGATTCTCTTTTGAGGAAAAACTAATTTCCTTTACAGAACTTTTATTATATAAAATCTTTAAAGTACTGTCGACAATTTCATTCACAAAGACATTTTTCTGGAATAGAATGTTATTTGGAAATGGATGCATTTTTTTGATTTCTAAGTCTAAGTCATTCTTAATAAGCTTCAAAATGGTGCTAGCAATAATATCAGCATATTTCTTAAGACTAGCTTCTGATAAATGAATCGTGGATCCAAGTTTTTCTCTGTAACTGGCAAAAGTGTGCTCTGTAAGTTCTTCACTGAGAATGGATTTAGTTGTTGATATTTTCAAGACATTCACATCAGATTCCACTTGGCTTGATTCACAAAAAATGCTATCATCTTGTTTACAATTTTCCAATTCTGGGCTAACAAATGACTTTGCTTTAGGCTGTAAAGCAAGAGTAATTAACGAATCTATTCTTTCTGTGGCAAAAGATTGTAACCGATTGAAAATAGTCTTAGTGATGGAATTAGCATTTTCCTCACAAGGGTCAGGAATAGATTTCTTGGTGTCTTCTTTCCCTGCTACAGCTATCTGATTATCATCAGCATAAGCTGATTTCTTTTTTTTTAAATATGGAAAATACTCTGTCTTTTCTTCACTTTTTGAAACCACAAGGAGGGACTGATGACCCTCTTCTTTTGGAAATGTATCACAAAAGGTCAATTGTGCAAGAGTGGAATCCTTTGCATTTATGCCAAGCATTACAACAGAATTGAGATTATGAAGAACAATATCCACTATATCCTTAGAGAACAAAATGACGTCTGACTTAGGAACTGAAAATTCAGGAATATTCTTGTTTGTACCCTCAATGAAAATTTCAGAATTTGGTTTCAAATATTTACCTGTTATGCTACTTTTCAGAGAGGGAGTGACAAAGGAGAGATTGTTCTGAAACAGAGTTTTTTCATAAATATCACACAAGATACCTTTTATGGTATCTTGTATTTGAAACTGAAGTATTTTTCGATATTCAGGCTTACTGAACAGCTTTTCAATAATACCTTCTTGCTGATCTGAATTAATCTCTTTGTCAGAACTGTGTTTGTCACATTTACTTTTGCATGATACAATATCTAGCACTGTGCTAACAACTTGACTTGCAATACTTTCAGAAACCACAATTTTTTGAGTCAAGAAAGGACCCTCCCTTTCTTTATCTAACTCATGTTTGATTCCTTGTAGTATTTTTGTAGCCACTTCTTTTGCATAAATATTTAATTTTGATAAAGATGGTTGGCACCAGGAGTTGGACTGTCCTGACTTGATATGATCCACTGAGCAACAGGAATATTGTTCATCAGATTGTGAGTCTTTGGCTGATAATGCTTTGCTCAATGTACTTTCATCATGTGGATAGGGTAAAGTAACTGGCACTGTGAAGTTGACTTGGGGGTAAAAGAGTGATTTTACCTTGGATGTAGTAAAAATTTCTAAGTTGGTTAATATTGTCTGTACAATATCTTCAATTACATTTACTTTGTTTTGTTTTTCAACAGTCAATCTGGACTGTAGAGAACATGGATTTCCATCCAACACAGCAACAGAGGAGTTTTGACCATAGGTGTGTTCATGAAAAGAAACATTAGCTGAAAAGGTGACAGTTTTGCAACTATTTTCACTTACATTTTTTTCTGTCGTGGCAGCTGAATAAAGTTTATGGAATACAATTCTAACCACATCATCTGCCACTACTGTTACATCTGTGTCAGACACTAATGGACCAATTACCTTATTCATAAATTGAACAGATGTTTGAGTAGTTGACTCATGAACATTGTGAGGCATGTCACTGAAATGAGTCTGAGAGGGAGAAAGCACATTTAATTCATTGATTAAATCACTTTGAAAAATTTCATTCAAGATATTTTTTATAATTGGAACAATTGGAGATTTATGTGGTTCTCTGAGTTTCACTTCAATTTTGTTCAGCGTTCTTTCTAGAATCCATTGTTTAGAAGAATATGTTTTAGCTTCCTCTCTCAGTGATGTTCTCTCTCCACTTAATTCTTTCTCTGCAGGTGCCTCATCTTCTATAAATGACTCTGTGTCAGCTCCTCCAGGAAGGAAATTTCCATAAGTTGGCTGGTATCGATAAGTTTCAATGCCTCTGTCTTCAGATTCAGTTTCACTGAATGTATCTGTGGATACTGAATCTAAAATTAAATCAACTATATTTGTAAACATTTGTGTTTCAGGTGATGGGTTTTTTATACTTGTCTTCAAATCTGACATGTTCATATTTAATTCAGTTTGAATTGTTTTCAAAAGAGCACTTGATACCTTCTTTGCTTGTGTATATAAAGTAGACCGCAATGGTTCTTCACAGATATCTGTGAATGCACTGGTACTTTCACATTCCCAGTCCACCCCTCTGTCTTTTTGACTGTAATCATTATTAACACCTAGAGTATCTAAATTCTGATTGGCAAACCCTTCCAAATTAGCAAAAACCATATTAAGAATATCTGAAGCTGTAGTTTTCAATGCATTTGGATGTGTTACTTTTGAGTTCTCTATTTTGGAAGACACAGGAGCAACATTTTTTGCCTTGCTTTTAGTCAGATCTTTATTATTTTTCTGCATCATTTTGGAAATTATGTCAGAGATTATACTGGTGCATTTGGCCATTTCCTCAATAATTGAAGCAAACGATAAGTTGTCAATGTCAGGAGATTCTGATGAAGCTTTAAAACTTGCTAAATTGGTATCCATATCAACACCACATAGTTTTGCAATGATATATTCCAAAATAGTTTTGGAAATTAACTGAACATCAGATACCAGTTCGGTGGCCATTTGCTGCTTCTTGTTTGATTTCTTTCTGTTTTGCTGACTACAGGATGGTTGAGAGTTAGGATAGATACATGCTAGTTGGTTTAACATTTCCTGTAGTGTTTCCCCAATACTATCTAATACTTGCAATTTGTTATTCTCTTTGAGGTCTTTTCCATTCTTGATACTATGGAAAGCACAAGGAGTAGCCAAAGATTTGAGAAAAGATTTTTTATCCTGTCTAAATGACAAAGTGTTTTGTTTGTCAAAGTGGTCAGATCCATAGGAAGTTGAAGATGTTGACTTATCTGAAAGGAGAAAAGTATTCCTTTGATCTTCATTTCTACCTGATACCATATCACAAATACAAGTTAATAATGGACTGGTCATAATGTCATCATTGAGATCTGTGACAAGATATTCTAATTTCTTATCATTATCAGCAACAAATCCTTTCCTTGTAGGGGGTTTAGTATAGTCTATCTCTGTAAGATGTAAGTTTTTCTTACTGAATTCTACTTCATTCTGGATAGCATGCAAAACAATGCTTACTATTTTAGTCGTATAAGTACTAAGTTGAGATTGTAATAAAGATTGTTTGGGAAGTGAAGGTTTGACTCTCTTTTGCAATTTTGGACAAATCAATAGCTTCAGTTTTTTAAAAACTGTATCAATGATCTTATTACTAATGTCATCTACATTCTTAAGTGTACCTTCTTCAGATCTTGACCGGTAAGGCTTTTTAGAATCTACATCAAGGGATGATAAATATTTCATTTTCTTTTCACTGTCAAACCATATTTTCAATGGTTTTTTATTTGGTGCTTTATTGACTATTTGGGGACTGTCAGATTTATCTAGAAAAGTTTGACAAACTGATGATGAAATGATACTTTCAGTGATATCGGGAATGCAGCTTGATGCCTTATGAAGTATATTTAACACAGAATCTGCTATTTCTTTAGCCACTGCAGTAATTTCCGACACAGAAAACATCTTGTGTATCCATTCTTGACTTGACAGTCCTTGAGATTCTTCTGTAACAAGAGCTGAAGATTCTTTGCCAATTTTGCTGCTGAGGTAATCAGAAGAAGTAGAAAATATATCCTTGAACATTTCTGTTAAAATACATTTAACTATGTTTTCTGAAGTCTTTTGAATTTGATGCTTTTGATCTTTGGTGAAAATGGAAATGTCTTTATTCAGGCATGGTTTTTCCTTTAAAATGTCTTCATTACTAAAAGATGGCAGCTCTGTCTTTAATTCCCAATCATGAAGTACAACTTTGCTTGGAGCAGCAGACTTTGTAGGTGGTCTCCTGATTTTTTTGCTTTGAAAATCAGTGTTTCCTTTTGTAAACCGATGATTAGAAATCTGGTCTTGTGGTTTTCCTTTTTCTTCTTTGAAGGATGAATCAAGCACACTTTTCACAATGTGGTCAATCTCTTCATTATCATCTTCAGAATAAAGGACCATGCCTGGGACATTAATAGGTGGAAATGGTTTTCTAGGCATAGGTCCATTAGATAAGCTAGTGCCAGTGAGTCTATACTTTTCTTCAGTGTCAGAAATATTTCTCACTCTAGGTTGTCTTCTTTTTTGTACACCTGTTTTTACTGGCTTCTGGTGGAGCTGTGTAAACATATCATCAAGTAGTTGAAGGAATACTATTGTTTCTTCAGATGCAACAAGTCTCTCATTATTAAGTTCAGTTTGTACATAACCTAGTATAGTACCGATTGCTTCTTTTACATAACCAATCAAATTTGACTGTGAAAAAATACCTGATATTAAATTTTGTATTTCTTCTTTGAAACTTAAATTAGTTTTATCAGGATCAGGAGTGGATTTCTCTCTGCCATCACTTTGGGGTACTGTGTGTGTTGGGTCTGTCTTATTTTGCTTTTGATGTTTGGTTTTGTCTTCAAGAGGAAGTTCAGTTTTCTTATAAGATGCAAGAGTCTTCAGCTTTTCTAAAATGACATGTACCATATCCTCTGCAATATCACACATAGGTTCCAAAAGACACGGTGGTAATGACTCTTCTGAAAGTTTTCCATTTGATGATGTGAAACACTCGTCACTGGTTGTTAAATTTGGTTTAAGGTCGACTGACAAATCTTCTTGTGAAAATACCTCAACACATTTTTTCTCAACTGCAAGTTCTAGTTTCTCAAGCATGTTTTCCACAATCTCTGAAGCTACAGAGCAGATTTCAACATTGGAAAACAAGTCTTCTTTGTCAGACTCACACTGGTCAACAAAAACTTCGGCGGTTACAGAAGAAAGAGAAGGAATGGCCTGGGTTAAATCAGACATTAGTTCTTGAAAAATGCTTTCTAAAATCAGTTCAGTTTCCCCTTTCAAGTGACATTTAAAGTTAACAAAAACATTCTTTAAATTCTTTATCTCATCCACAGCTTTTGCTTTTTGATCAGAAAACAATGGATTCACATTCACTAAGCCATCTGTTTCTGTGGTAGCATCCTTAGATTTTTTTCTGCCTGTTTCCAATGGTGCTAAAAGATGACTATCTGATTTAGAACTTCCGAGCTTAGGGTATGAATACATCAAGCTGCCTTTGTTATATTTGAGTTCAGAGGCTATAGACTGTCCTTTCTGGTGAAATGCTTTCCCCACAACTCTTCTTTCCACATGAGAAGAAGGAGGTTCTAAGGGTGTGTTTGTTCTTTTTACTGATGTGTGAACTGCAAATGTACAAGGCTCTGCCTGATATGTTTTAGTTGTTGCAGATGTGTAGCTTCCATATGTAAACTCTTCACTGCATGTGCTACAGAAACTTGAACTATCTGAAGAAAGGACAGAGTCCTCAGACACTGGATAGGTATTATTTTGCAACCTTTCTTCATACTTTGTGATGGCTGGATATAATATGCTAGTCACTGTAGCTACAACCCAGGTCATTATGTTCTGAATTATACTAGTCAGTTCTTCAGAAGTTACCTGGAAAATAAATAAGAAGGGATAAAAAAGAAAATCATGTAATAATTTATACTCAGAGAACAGAGAAGAACATTTAATTTTTTTTATATCAAAAAATGCATGGCTAGAATACCAGCATGGTTTGTGAAAAAAACATAGTAGAAAATTTATTTAGAATTTTAGATTAATTTTGGTTAGTCTATTATCTAAAACAGAGAAATATTTTGTGCATTATATTTCATTTATTTGTCTTCCTTCAGAAATTTTTAAAAATTTATTTTCCCTAGTTTTCATTACTAAGATAAATGACTGTTTAAAAATAAACCATGAAATTGCTACCTAGGCATCTATCACGCAACTATTTTGTAACAAGAAATGTGTTCATAACCCTGTAAAATTCTTTAAGGTACATCAAATTATTTCCAATTAACTAGTTTTCAAACAGATGTCGTCCAAATATTTGTGTGCCTTCAGAGGCATCTATCTGCCTCACTGGGGTATAAGGATGGAAAATACCCCATCCTTATCCCCATTCCCTGCTGCTGCAAGGGTCAATCTGTGGTCTGTATATATGAAATAAGCTTACTGTTAACAACTATTTGATAGGCTACAATAAAAGCTAATACTTCACAGAGACTGAGTGTCTTTGAACCCCACAAGAATATCAGTGCAAACTGCCTTAAATAGGAAAGTTGAAAACAGATGATCAAGTGAAGGAATAAATTAATTTAGAAAGAACATAAAAAGATAAACTCAACTGGAACTCTAAGATCCAGAAGGGATGAGAAAGTGTAGGAAATTTGGAATATTCCTCAACTTGAACCAGCACTGAAAGTTCAGAAACCAGATTTAAATGACTACAGTGTCAATGTTGCTCTCATAGAATTAGACTGAACTGCAGTAGAAACAAATGTACCTACAGGATTCAGTTAAACCTCTACTTATTTACTGCACATATATTTTCTTCTAAAAGTCATCTTTCTTATAATAAAGTGTAGTCTTTTTAAAATTATTACCAATATGAAAACATACAGGTTGTAAACACAATAGATGGCAGCAAAGCTGGAAGTCTGTTTTTTAAAGCATAACAATAAATGATAATATGATTCTTGTAATAGGGTTATCTACACCCATAATGTTGCCTAAGTTAGTCCAAAATTATTCATGCTTCAGGAAAATCATCAAAGAAAAAGTAACACTATGTAGTACCCTTTCTCCTGATAAATTTATGAGTTTTCAGGGTGCATCCTAGGAAAGTTCATTTTATTAAATTTTCATTCCCCCAAGCTCTTAAAATCCCACCGCCCTGCATCTCTCCATCTATCTATCTATTTTTTATACTAATTTTATAGACAGTACCTGTGATCTGAAAAACACATTTTGGGATGATAGTATATATTATACGATACTTGTTTTACATAAAAATAAAACCTAAAGTTTAACAGAGAAGATAATCATTCAAAATCAACAACACATTTAACATATAAACTAAAATATTCAATATATACTACCTTTTATAACCCAAGATAATGAACAACAGACCTACATTATTACTCTTAGGCTAAGTATGGGAGAGTTTTCAACCTCAATATATGAAAGAAGGGACATTCCTAAAGTTTTGGATTATAGTGAAATAAGTCAAATAGAATCCTGTTTTACAAATTTTTTCTATGTAATATAAATTTGAAAATATTCCCTTGAACCAAAGCTTCTGTATTTGGCTGCATATTCTATGAATTGAGCAGGTATCCATGTGAAGTATGTGCTTACTCCCCAACAGCTTCATCTTTCTTGACTGGTCTATCTAGACCCAAAGCTGGGTCTTAAGAAAATACAAATGAACAAAAACTCTCTTATCTTTGCTCATTCCAACTTTCAGCTCAGAGGTGACCCGGTTCTTTCCCATGACGACTCCTGGAGACAGATACTGGCATCCAGGCTCACCTGCTTTTGAGCTCAACCGCAACATATGCAAAACATGATGATTAATGGCTTCCCATGAGAGATGGGCTTGTGGCATTCCATGTTACTCCCATGAAGGCTAGGTTCCTTTGTACTCCCCATTTTATACTCATGCACTCCCTCTTGAAGATACACCATCATTTTTTTTATAACAACTGTGGACCACAATAGAATCTGAGAATTAACTGATATAAATTTCAAAGAGGATAAAGAGCAAACATGGAAGATGAGCAATCAATATACATGATTCCTGGTTATTGGATTCACAAAGTTTTTTCCTATTATGACACATAAGAAGATATAATTAATATGCTGCTTTTTCAGTGACTCTTATGATACATACTTTTTGTTGCAAACAATTTTGTAGAAGGTTCTGTTGTCTGTAAAGCCAAGAAAGGTTGGTCACTTTTAAGATACAGAATTTATAAAAATCTTTCCAAAATATCTAATGATTTAACTGGTCTCTCCCTGACAGTTTCACTGCAAAAAATTTTAAAAATGAATAAAACTTTTTTTTTTTTGTCCAACTCTCTAATTTCACCTCCTCTTTAGATATTGGCCTCTGGATTCAGGAATGTGTCTTATTACTCAGGGGTGTACAGTTATAGCTGTTTTATAAACAATATACCTGTCTGCTTGTTTGCTTCTGACATACCTTAACTATGCATATGATTCTCTGGGGAAGGACACAGGATTGGGTGGGAGTTGTTATGGTTTGAATATGTGGTATCTTCAAAAAGCTCATTTTAGAAAATGTAGCAATATTAAAAGGTGAAATGATTACACCATGAGAGCTGTAATATAATCAATGGATTAATCCATTTGATGGATTAATAATATGAAGGGACTCTTCTCAAGCTGAGACAAATAAGCACCATTAAAATAGATAGTCACCAAGAATTGAGCAACGAAAAGAACCTGGGGTTTAAAAAAACATATTTTGGAAGTTTCGACAGGCTACATCATTAGAGATCATTATTGTGGAGTACACTGTAAATATATTTTATGAAGGAAATAACTGATTAATTAATTAATATTGTGTAGTAAATTTTATGAATAAAATGATAGGAAGTCAATAATCTCAAAGGGTATAGGAATGCCAAGAGTAGAAAAAAAATTCAGATCCTGAGAAATTCCCTGGGGCAGGGAATGGGGACTGTGCCTACAAGCCCCTGAATGTAACAGCCATAAGGATAAGAAGATAGGAAAGAGGACAAACATTTATTTTGTTTGCAATTTAAGGTTAGTTCTGAAGGAAAGAGGACAAACAGTTATTTATTTTGTTTGCAATTTAAGGTTAGTTCTGAAAGTTTGAAAAAATGAAGCTTCACTAATTCCAAGTAGATCTACAAGAAGGGAGTTTTCCATGCAATAATGTACTTATGAAGAGCACTATTATGCAGTGATTAAAATATTAATTTATAATTTACACATAAATTTTTTAGACACTTACGTGTTTGAGAAAACAGGAGAAGAAAAAATACCCGTGGCTGTAGCTCTACCCTGAGGTCCTATATATTAGGAAAACAAAATTATAATTTATATCTCATCCTTAGCAACTTTATAAATGGTAAATTCATCCTCTAGTAGATTGATATTCTTGGTTGTCACTGCCTTGTTTATAAGCTTTTAGGGATTGTCCATAGTAAAATCCAAAGTCCTTGGCAAGGCATAAAATACACTGTAAGTCTGACATTCTTATCTACCCCTACAGTGTATATAGCTAGTTTTTCATATGTATTGTGTGGCAGAGATACAGAATATACCACAATCTCCTAAAGAAATATTTTCTATGCCTCTGGACCATTGATTTTGCCATTTCCTGTTTAGTACTCTGTGTCCTCTCCTAACTTGCTGTCTTATTAACCTTGTGTTAACTCCTATTGAAAGTTATAAAGCACTGATAATAGTTAAACAAAACATAGTTAAATGAAAAGATCTCATGTTAATGGATTGAAAGATTTATACTTTTAAAATGTCCCTATTACCCAAAGTGATAAACAAATTCATTGCATCCATATCAAATTCCCAATGTCATTCTTTACAGAAATAGGAAAACATAATCCTGGCATCACAAGGGACCCCCAAGAAGCTAAAGCAACCCTGAGTAAGAACAAAGCTGAAGGCATTACACTACCTATTTCAAAATACATTAAAAAACAGTAGTGATGCAAACAGTATGGCACATGAATAAAAAAGCCAAAAGCTCTTTTTTTTTTTTAATTTTCTCATACTATAAAAGAATATAGAAGCAAAAATAAATAAATCCATACATGTAAGGTCAATTGATCTTTGAAAAAGTTACTCAGGACACAATGGGGACCAGATAGTCTCTTCAATAAATATTGTTAGAAAAATGGTATATTAACATAAAAAATAATTAAATCTGAGCCTTATTTCACTTCATATGCCAAAAAAAAAAAAAACCCCAAAACAAAAAACCAAAAAGACCACAAAATGGATTAAATGCTTAAATGTAAGATCTTAAGCCCTAAAACAACTAGAAGAGATTGTAGGGATTGTAGAGATTGTTGTCTTCCATTTTCCCATGTCTTGAGATTTTCTGTGAGCCTACAATATGACATCCTAAGCACATGAAAAAAAAAAAAAAAAAGAAAGCAAAGGTACACAATAAAATTATGTCAAACTGAAAGTTTTTGCACATCAAAGAAGACAAGCAAAATTGTGCAATATTTTGTGCAAAATTTGCGCTAACCACATACCTAAAAGATTGATATTGAAAATACAGAAACTCAATTCAACAGCAAAACAATCACCAAATTTTAAAAAATGAGCTATGGACCTAAATAGAACTAGTATACCCCCCTCAAATACAAGACATATAATAAGCCAAAAGTTACATGAAAAGATGCTCAAGAATCAGTAATCAACAGGAAAATACAAATCAAAATTGCAATGAGATAACATTTCACACCTGTTAAAATGTATTTGAGTAAAGAGGCATAAGATAACAAGTGTCAGCAAGGTTATAGAGAAAAAGAAATGCTGATAGCACTGTTTGTGGTTATGTGAATACATTTAATAGTTAAAGAAAACTGAGTGAAGCTTCCTCAAAGAATTAAAAATAAACCTATTTATAATCCAGAAATCTCACTTCTGAGTATACACTTAAAATAAATGAAATCAATATAGTGAGAAGATATTTGCACTCCCCTGTTTATTGCAGGATTAGTCACAATAGTCAATACATAGAACCCTCTTGCTATGATTTAGGAATAGTGTAAGTGTGTCTCACAAAAACTTGTGCTCTGGAAGCTTGTCCTCAATGTGGTGATGTTGACAGGTTATGTGGAGCTGATGGGGTCCAGTGAAAGGTGATTAGATCATTGGGAGCATTGCCCTTTGAGAGGTTCTAGTGGAACAAATTAGTTCCCCTGAAAGCAGAGCATTGAAAAAAGAGTGAGCCTGACTCCTAAATCCTTCTGGTTCCTGTTTCTCTATAGGATCTCTTCCAAATATGCTGCCATTCACCATGAGGCCCTCAGCAGTGACTGAACATGTGGAGCTGCCAATCATGAACTTTTAGCTCCCAAACTGTGAACTACATAAGTTTCTTTTCTTTAGAAAGTAGCCAGTCCAAATAGTTGTATTTTGTAATAACAACTGTTTTAGTCAGCTTTTCCACTGTCATGACTAAAATACCAACCAGAACAATTTTAGGGGAGGAAAAGTTTATTTAGGACCTTACAGTTTCAGAGGTCTCAGTCCATAGATGGCTAGCTCCATTCCTTGGGGCTTGAGGTGAGGCAGATATGATGGTAGAAGAACATAGTAGAGGAAGATGGCTAGCATGATGATCAGAGCAAGGGCAGAGCAAGAGCAACAGAGGGACTCCACTTGCCAGACACAAAATATATACCTCAAAGGCACACCCCCAATGACCCACCTCCTCCAGTGACACCCTACTTGCCTTCAGTTATGGTTCAGTTAATCCCAGTCAGGGCATTGACTCACTGATTGTGTGAAGGCTCTCATAACCCAATCATTTGTCTTTTAAACATTCTTACATTGTCTCACACATGAGCTCTGGGGGATACCTCACATCCAAATCATAACAACAACAAATACAAAGCCAAATCTAAATGTCTGTTGATGAATGAGGTTTCAGAGGGGAATGAAACTTTTTTCAACTGGTACTAGAGGACATTCATATTACATTCTGGCAAAGAATTTGTCTACACTTTTCCCATGTCTTGAAATTTTCTGTGAGCCTGAATCTAAAGGTGATTGACTAAATCTGGTGGGGGAAATTTCAAGGAAGCACAATATTCTGGCAATGGCATGGGTGTTTTTGGTAGCTTTTAGTCAGATATGCTGTGAGAATTGGGAGTGAGAAGCAGAGAGGAAATATTTTAAAAACTTGCATTTCTTTTTCCAGAAAAATGAATGTAAAATTGGGATCAATGAAGGCATGTTTTTGAAGTGACTATCACCACTAATAACAAGCTAAGTACTTTGCAGAGAGACAATGGAAAAGATGCCTTGAGAGTATCTCAGGAATCAACAAGACCACACCTATCACAGGTTCAAGGATGTAAAAGGGAAAACTTTCATAAAATACAGCGGGTACCCTGCTCATACAGGGGTTCCAAAGAGGTTGTTACTCCAGGATTCAGTTTACGATGCTTAGCACCTAGGCACTGAGAGGTCACTATGTCCTTGGTACTAGGATCATAGCTACTGCTGGAGCTGGCAGCAGACCTTAAAATCATCTACATTGTCCTAGTTCTGCAGGAATGCAGGTTGTTAAAGTTAGGGGCTCAGGTGAGGTGAGATTTCAAAGAAATGCCCTATAAATGAGACAACATGCATCAGAGTGAAAATCCTTGCAGGCAGCCTCTGAGTGGGTGATACATGAAACTATGAGAAGCAAACCAAAGTTGTTGTAAGGAAAATAAAAAAGGGGACACAGAGAAAAGATGCAGGGGCAGGAAAGAAAGATGGCAGAATGACACAGGGGCCAAACTGCCAAGCTTTATTTATATCAATAGGTTACTTCAGCTCATTGGCATCATTAGTACATATTGTTCATTGTATTACTAGGCAGGTTACAGACTTAGCAATATTATGCAGCTTATTCCTCAGTTACATACTAAATTGCAATGTGCAATGCTAGGAGCTTTGTGTAGCTCTCAAGAAATTACATTGTATAAAGTTACTGTTATATGGGCAGGTTTAGGCTCAGTGAAACACTGTAGTTGTCTAACAAGAGAGTTCCTTTATTTCCAGGAGCTGTGTGCCTGAGATCAAGGTTGAGACTGATAAGATTCTGAGATTAAGGTCAAGGCTGATAAGACTCTAACACAGAGCCTCCCCGTGAAGGACACTGCTACAGCAGCTAGGCATTCTGTGTCTTTGCACAGAAGATTTCCCAGTAGCCAGGCATTCTGTGTCTTTGCACAGACACTTCCTAGCCACCAAGCATGCAACAGTCATGAAGCTATCAGAGACCTCAATCTCAAACACAGAACCCCTACAAGTTGTGATGAAGAAACCCCTGATTAACAGATGCCCATAATGAGGAACATCAGCTCAGGAAAGTTTCTGGCTTGGCTGAAGACAGAGCCAGCCTAAGTGAGAGACTATGAATTCTGCAACAGGGAAGGCCAAAGTGGAGGACTGCCCAATAAATTTCAAGTTTATATCCTACCAACACTTGCCATGAATGCTCAACATGGCATTACAGGACATATATTTGTCCAACTGGGGTTTAGTTTTTTTTTTTGGTCCCATCCCTTCTTTCTATTTCTCCTTTTTGAAATGGGAATATTTACTCTGTAACACTGAATACTGGATATATGTAAATTGCTTTTAATCTTTATAGGGGCTCATGAGCAAGTGCTTATATTTTCTATTGTCCCTACCACGTTCTCTCTTTGCTCTGTGTCTGCCATGACCTGAGGAAATTTCTTCTGCCACACCCTCTCACTATGATGTTCTGCTTAACATCGGACCCAGAGTAATAGAGTTGCCCAATCATGGACTAAAACTGTGAACTGTCAGTCCAATATAAACTTTTCCTCCTTTATGTTGTTCCTGTCAGTTATTTTGTTCATAGTAATGACATCTGACTAACACACATGATCTCACCTATATGTAGAATAAAAAATGTCAAACTCATAAAACAATAAAATTCAAAGGATTCTATATATTTTGGTACAAAGGGACTTCTTATTTCTTACTGGTCATAAAAATCAAAGGCTTTAGAACCTAAATCCTGAAGAAAATAAAGTAATCAAACAACCAACCAACCAAACAAACAAACAAAAAACCCAGAATAGAATGGTCATTACTAGGGCATGGGCAATGGGGGTGGGCAGAATATTTTGGGAAAGTACAGTGAATTGGTACAAGTTTTATTTATACAATATTGGTTAAGTATTGGAGATCCAACATATAAGACATCTATAGGTAAACAAAATTTTGTTGTATACTTAAAAATTGTCAAGAGAGTAGATCTTAAGTTTTGTAACCACACACACAAAATGGCAACTATGTGATCTGCGATGTGATAGTTAAAAATATTGTATTGTAAACTTGAAATTTGCTAAAACAGTAGATCTTAAGTGTTCCAACCACACATAAAAGTACAATCATGTGAGGTGAAGGATATGTTAACTCGCTTGATGGTGGTGAATTTTTTATAATGCATACAAATATAAAATTATCAAGCTGTAGTCCTTATATATAAATTTAATTGTAAACTATACCTAAAAGTTTGTGGGGAGGAGTTACAAAGAGAAAACAATAGATATAAGAATATAAGCACAAATTTCAACAATAGTTTTCAATTTTAATTGTCAACATTAGTACTAACTCAATAAAAATAAAAGATAAGAATATGTAAAATTCTTTGTTATTATTAAAATTCTTTCTCATTATTCATTCAAGCCTCTTCTGTGCAGGCTTCTCTGAGGACCCTAGATAGACCTAGGCATTGTCTTCTTACATGTTCTGACATTTATATACACCTACTTTTATATGGTGATTATAATACTGAGTTGTGATTTTTGCCATTACTATCTTCCCAGAACTATACACTCTGATAGCTCTGGGCAAGAATCAGGAATATTTTCCCTATATGTTCAGTGCCAGACTTAGCATGTAGCAAGAGAACAATAATGTTAGTAGACAGAGTAAGTAAATAAATTGCATGATTTACTCAATAATTGTTGCTGATAGTTACCTGATTCAGAGATATAGCTTGATTTCTTCTTGGTTGGTCTTCCACTCCAGTCAGTATTTATCTCCTTCTACATAAACACAAAAATTATAGATTCTTAAAAACTTTTTCTAGAATTTGAACATTGTCTATTATTTTTATATTTAAATTATGCATACATTTTAAATTTTATATTAAGAATTTAAATTTTTTTAAACTTATCTTAAATATTAATTTATAAGAAATGTGCAACTTTTACTATGTTTCTATAATATTTATTATTGTCAAAGGGTACCCACAAGACCATCCATATATTAATAATTTTCTAAGAGTTTGAGACTCAGTCTATAGTTGTAACTCACATCTAGGATTTATTATAATAAAAAATACACATTAGAAAAAGTAAGGGCTAGGTATAGAGAAATCCACACACAATCTTCCTTATTTTATCTGTTTCTCCCTTGTAAGAAGATAAACGTGAGGGTATACTTTTTCTAACAATAAAAAAATAATAATAATATTATTAAAATGTTCCTACCCAAGGAAATACATGAAAAATTTATCACCTGTTGATTTTATTAAAGGACGTCCTATAGATACCCTATACAAGATCATATTGTTTTCACTTTCCAGGTACAGCGAACCACTCTTCTTAGTAATGAAAGTAAAGCTTCCCCAGTCATCTTCCTAAACACCAGTCAAAGGCCAATCATATAAGAACGCTCCTTTAAAGATAGTAGTTCCAAGGCTGCTATGTTATTTCTTTTCTGCAGAGTAATATTCAGTGATAACCTCCAATTCACTATTTGTGGAATGCACTAATTAACAAGGAAATTAATCCTCTCAAAGGGAAGAAAATGAGTGTTTTTGTTCATTTGTTTGTTTTTTACAAAACAACAGAAAAAATTTAAGTAGAGCTAGAAGGCAAATAATAGATTCTCTCAAAACATGGAATTTGGTTCTTCAGACTTTTCTAGGAGCCCAAACAACTCCAGGGAAGCAAATTCCTTGTAATATATTTCTTTTTTATTTTTTTCTGTACCCTGTGTAAGAGCTAAAAATAGGCTACAAGAAATACATTTTCTGATAATGGTAGACTGGGAAATATTTTATAATACTTAAAAATATTCATTCTGTTTTTCATAATAAGTTAGGTATCTGTTAACATCTGATATTCATTTGAGATTCATATGGATATCAATTTAATAATATACACATTACCCAAAAAGGAAATGATAAAATTCATACATAGTTTTAAAGGCATTTTTCTTCTTTTTTATAATTAACAACATAACCTTTGAAATATGTTGGACAATATGACCACTGCAAATGTCAGTGTTGCAAAGAAATATATTTTTTGATTCTTAGCATAATTAATATGGCTATTGATATAGTAGAACAGTGAACTATGATTATTATGTAATGTCAAAGTATTATTTGTACTGAAACTATACTGTAGAGAAGCATATTGTGCTAACTATACATTTTAAGAATTATGTATGATTTTGACTGTCAATAATTATACAGATAACAATTATTATGAGAGAATAAATAAATGTGGCAGCTTGTTACTTCAGAGACTTTATAAATAATGTCTCCAGTTTATCAAAAAATTTTTCAAATCATTCTAATCCTTATCATAGTTAACCAGTTAACACTATGCTGAAGATGAAACCAAAACTATGGATTGATTCATCTTATTCAAGTTGACAATCCACAGAAGAAATTTATTTATTTATTTATTTTGGTACTGGGGATTTAACATTTTGGGGGCTTTTAACCACTAAGCCATATTCCAGCCCATTTTATTTTTTATTTTGCGACAGGGTCTCAATACATTGCTGATGGTAGCTTGTGATTCTCCTGCCTCAAACTCCCAAGCTGCCACACCCAATGAGATGATCCCTTTCATATGTAAGGCAGTATCCTGAATATGTTTTGCAACTCTCCTATAGCAAGTAATTGTTCACTGGTCGTAATGTTCTATATTAGTACACTAGAAGCCTGATCAAAGAACTGTAATTTGATTACTTTGAAGACTTCAGGTACACATTGCAAACTGCCATCGTGTGGCTTACATTTAGACAGAGGGTCCTAGGATTATTACATTTTTATTAAGGTATTATTAATTTCATGGAATAGAGTTATTCCATAAGGTCAGTAAAGAGTGATATTTCATGTACAAATGATGAACAAAAGACCAAATTTCACTTATTCTGTTTATATTTGGAGAAAAGAAATATTACATACCTCTTCTTTTTGAATTGGAGCCCCTATAAATGTCTGTGAACTTTTACGGTAACCTTTTGTGGGTGAAGTTTGAGCTGAAACAACTGAACCTCGAGCTGATATGTTTATACCTCCTAGAGAAAGAAGAGATTCCTTTAAACATGAGAAGATAATATTGCTGGGAAAAAGGGCAAATACTATTTTACAACATTCTCCCTGCTGCACATTTTCTCTGTTGAACTGACAGAATAGCAGGAATTACCACAATCAAGAATTTATTTGAGTTAAGGAAGTATCTCCAAGAACAACTTGTCTGTTTTGATGCTTACTGTTACCATCATCTTTTTCGCTGCTGTGACCAAAAGGCCTGACTAGAACAATTAGCAGAGGAAAAGTATATTTTGGAGCTCATGATTTCAGAGACGTTAGTCCATACATGGCCAGCTCCATTGCTCTCGGCCTAAGGTAAGGCATGACATCATGGTAGGAGAGTGTGGTGGGGGAAAGCAGGTCACAACATAGTACCAGGAAGCAGAGACAGAACTCTGCTCAACAAAAATAAAATATATACTCCATAGGAACCTATTCCAGCCACACCCTACCTGCCTAATTACTGGCCAGTTAATCCTTATCTGTGGACTAATGAAATGATTAGCTTAAGGCTCTCAAAACTCAATAATTTCACCTATACACTTTCTTGCATTGTCTTACACCTGAAGTTTTGGCAGATATCTCATATCTAAACTGTAATGCTGGCTAAAATTTTCATTGGCTCATCATTTCCTTCAAAGGCAAGTTTGAAGTTCTTAACTTCTAACCCTAGTTTATTTAATACTCCAGCTTATTCTTATGAAACTATCCATAGCTCACTGCTGAAATTAACAGTTTTCATTTCATTCAGTTGGTAATGAACACAACATGTGACTCACACAGGAGAATAAATAAAACTGTTTTTTAAGAAGATTGCTTTCACAGTAAAATGTATGGTGGGTTAAAAGATGAAGAAATGATAGGAGGAAAGTTATTTCAATAGTAAAGCATGGAGAAACAAGGACAGAAGTAGTGGGCTAGAGATTGCTAGATGAGAGGATTGTTATTTTCTTCACACTCAAGTCTCAGGAGGTCACAAAGGAAATTCACAGAATATATGTAAAGATCCTAAAGGGTCCAAAACGGTTGACATAGCTAATAATCAGAAAAACTAGTAGGATATTCAAATAAAATATTTTTTGGAGAACATTTTGGATACACCCCCCACCACCAAATGTAAGGTATGATGTAATCAGATGGTATAGTGGATGTTTTGAATTAAGAATTCCTCTATATTGCTTATGGAATTTTAATATAATAATATAATTTTGGAGGTAAATTTCACAAGACAGTGAAAATATTACAATATAGTTTTTATAAAAATTTAGAACATGTTATAATTATGATAGAAAACATAGTAAAATGATATATTTGTAGAAACTAGTAAATATTTAATATGTCAGGGCAACATTTAGATAAGCCACTAATTTTTCAATGTAGGCATCTATTCCTTTGCTCTATAGAAAATATTAGGAAGTTTCTCATGTCTAATGGAGGTGGTACAGATTGTACATTGAATTAAAAATAAGAATCAAATGGTATTAGAAGAAAAATCAAACGATGTTAAGAACTTAGTGTTTGATGAGCATAAGCAAGATTGACTGAGTTCTCCCATCATCTTGAGGATATTAGAGCTGAACCTGAATATCCTTTTGTTGTGAGGTTTAGTCCAAAGATACATAAAATTACTGCTAAATCCAAATCTACTGATTGTTCTTCGTAAAATATTTAACCCATTTCTGTATGAACAATATGAAATCAAGTCTTTATTCATCAGAAAATTGCTATTTTATTATATAGATATGTTTTTATTAATACACATAGATATATTAAGTGATGTTACAATTAATAAATGGATTCTATTAAATAAGGTATATATATGTATATATATATACATATACACAAGGTATATGTATGTATATATATACATATACACAAGGTATATGTATGTATATATATACATATACACAAGGTATATGCATACACACACACACACACACGTATGTATAAAGAGGATAGGATAAAGAATACAGTTATACAGAAGTAGCAACTTTTAGATGTAAAAATAACAAGAAAGGCTCAGATAATTCAGGTTCTGTCCCTGAGTGAAAACAGGAGATTCATGAAGGTGATAAATTTATGTTATGTTAAATTTCAAGTGGTTATTAGCCACTATATGAAGATGTCTTATATTTCCTGTGTATTTAGGACATACATTGGAGTATTTTTAGCATATTTAGTATGTTAGTACAAACATAGCAAGTCACAACATTTTTTTTGTAGTTGTAATGGACAGCATGCCTTTATTTTATTTGTTTATTTTTATGTGTTGCCAAAGATAGAACCCAGTGTCTTACAGATGCTAGGCAAGTGTTCTGCCACTGAGCTACAGCCCCAGCCCAAGTCACAACATTTTTAAGTAAAGTATATATCATGGGAAAATGGGAAACTGGATGTATTGTTTTCAGGGACGAATGGTAGTGGAATATGAGGATAATTGTATTGCAGCCTCCCAAACCATAGTACTTTAGTAACTTACTCTACCTTCCACTACAAACAGGTACAGCAGAGAGTTTTCTACCACTCATGAATGACAAAGGGAACATTCATCTAACTGTAACTTAAGTAAATGTTCTCATTAAAATATTACATTCACTAATAATTTTGTAGCATCCTTTATTTTTCAAAATAAGCATACATTTAATAATTAAGCAAAACAGCTTTAAAAACTATATGATAAAACTATAATTATGGGGCTGGGATTGTGGCTCAGTGGTAGAGTGCTTGCCTAGCATGTGCGAGGCCCTGGGTTCGATCCTCGGCACCACATAAAAAATAAAATAAGGATATTGTGTCCAACTACAACTAAAAAAATATTTAAAAAAACAAACTATAATTATGTATTTAATAACAAAAAATTATGAATGTTCTCCAATTTCTTACCTCTCTCATCAGTAATACTTGATTTTTTATTCATTATTCCATCTCTCTATATGATACAACATAAATGACAAAAACAAATCCATGAGTAACTGTACTTCTGAAAGAGATTTTCCTTTCTATCAGTCAACAAAATGAGTCTACATGCTTTCCCCTTTCGTCCAAGCAATCTTTCATAAAAGTTGTGTCAGGAAGAATATAATCATCAACCTCTTGGATACCTACCATATGGTCTCAAATTTAGTTTAAAATTGAGCCCAATATATAGCAATGTTCTCTTCCAGTATTCTATATTTTGTTTAAAGGCATGGTGATCCCTTCAATGACTGGATCTAAAAAGTTCAGAGTCATTTGTCTCAGAAAAATCCAACTCTAGCAATTCATACCCTTTCTAACGCAATGTTTATTGAAAACACTGCTTAGAATTACTTAAGATTTATTTTATTACAACATTTTTCTGTATCTGTTGCCTCACTAGACAATGATAGTGTCTTATTTATCTTTGAAATCTATGTAACCCAATTTCCTTATTTTTCATGCTTCTGACTTAGCACAGTGTATGATTAACAGTACATGATCAATAAATACTAGCTAATATCACTATAATGGCTAAGTATTTGTTTGGATCAGTTTCTGCTAAATTGCACAGAACATTGAGAACACAACTAACTCAACACTTTGACAGGGCAAGGGATCAGATCTCATGAATATAACCCAACATTCCTACCTAATCAGTGCCTTATCATAGCTCACAGAAGTAAAAATTAAGAAGATAAATCAATAACTACTGTGTAAAATTTTGAAACTTAATATTTCTTACCTTTAGTTCTATACCATTATCCTGCAAATCTTGATGATAAACAATTGAAGTTGATTTTTTTGTAATATTCTTTGAACTACTTAGAGACTGATAAATAACATTTGTTGTCTGTCCTAAAAGTAAATGAAAAAGTTAAAAATAACTTTATTGAAGTATAATTTAGGTACAATAAGTTGTACTTATATAAACTTTATTTTTAATCAACTTTTAAATATATATACAGCTCTGAAACCATCACTGCAATAAAGATAACATTTTAATTACCAATAAAAGCTTTCTCATGCTCCACTGTAATCTAGCCATCTCTTTAATCCCATCCCCCAACATTTGATCTTATGATTTCTGATTTTGTTCTTACTAAAGATTACTTTGCATTTTGTTTTGAATTTTTCTAGAATTTTATATGTACATAATGTTCTTCTGTTAGCTTTTTTGTCGTTTTATAATTTGGGGGGCCTGTTTTCTATCATTAAACATAATAGTATTATGTATTTTAATAGTTCATTCTTTATCATTGTATGGATATGTCACTATTTTTTATCCACCCATCAGTTGACGGACATTTGGATTGTTTCTGGTTTAGGCCTTTTATAAATAAAATTTTTATGAACTTTCAGATACAAATATTATAGGGATGTATATTTTTTCCATTTCACTTGTGCAAATACATGGGTCATATGGTAAGTATGTTTAACTTTTAAGAAACCTCCAGCTAGTTCCAAACTGACCATCTAATTTTTAAATACACCAATCAGCAGTACATCAGAATTTCAGTTATTTCATGTCTTGCCAACACTTAGCAGAAAAAAAAATAGAATCAAAGTAAAATGAAATAGAAAAATAAGTAGAAAGAGAAAAATGGGAGAAAATAATGAAAACAATAGCCAAATCTTTAAAGTTCAGGAAAACAGATATGTTGGATTGTTCAGGAATAAAGGACATCAATCAGCACAATAGATTCTACAGATAATTACTAAATTAACAATAAATCTAATGAAAATTGCATAGAAATCAATTTGAAAAGTTATGCAAGAGTCAAATTCCTTGAAGAACTCAAACTACCAAATCTTATTCATGAATAGATAATAGGAAGAATCCTCTATTAAAGAAATTGGATTTGTAGTTAAAAACTTTCCATACAAATTAAAATAATTTCATTTCTGAATAGTAACAAAGCTCTAAGGAAAAAATTAACTAAATCTGCACAAACTCTTTCAAAGAATTGAAAGAAATTCAAAGAATTTCAAAGATTGAATAAGTCTGAATGATTATTAACTCATATTTTAAGATCACAGTGATCCAAAATATCATTTACCAGATATTACAATAAAATAAAACCTTAATTTTTCCATGAAGAAAATAAATCAAATCCAACAATATATAATAAAAATAATGCATCATGAATATGATAAATAAATGAAGTTTATCCCAAGAATAAAGCACTAGTTTACATTCAAAACTCAAAGTAAGGGGCTAGGGATAGCCCTATCCCCTTACTGGCTCAGTGATAGAGCCTTGCCTAGTATGTAAGGGGCCTTGGATTTGGTTCCCAGCACCACACACACACACACACACACACACTTAGTAATTTATCACATTAAAAGAAAAAAGGAAAGAATTCATGTGATTATCTCAAAAATGAGGGAAAATACAAAATTTCAATAACTTTTCATGTTAAATCCTCTTTGTGAACTACAAATAGAGGGATGCATATCATCTTATAAAGGCTATTTTCAAATTTCTACAATAATCTCACTAATATCGATGACTTTTCCTTAAGTTATATAAGAACATCACAATGAACATAAAGGCCATATCTGTTTAACATCATAACAGAAGTACTATACCCCCCAAAAAAATAAATGAAAATTAGTCTTAAATAAAATCATGACAGGCTACTTTTTACAAGTTTCCAAGTTGTTTCTAAATTATTTTTTGTAAGTGCACAAGGATAATCAAGTCAAGATAGAAAACAACAAACATTGGATGACTCAAACTGTTAGAATTCAAGACTTATTATAAACCTACAACAATGAAGAGGATGTTATATTTACATACAAACAGATCAACAGAAGAGCAGAGAATGCTTATAAGTAGAACCACTTATCTATAACTAAATTTGCCAGTGCAATTTAGTGGTGTTTATGCAACTCTATATATAGAAAATAAACTTGGCTTATCCCATCTTCTCAGATAGCTATCACCAAATTTATACCAACATTTAGACACAAAAGAACTCTAGGTTCATCTTAGAGGGTATCCACTGGCCAGAGCTGTCACAACATCAGCATTAATAAACAATAACACATGCTGTTAAGTGTCACAAATTCACAAATTTAAACAGCTACGTATGTTGAAGCACATAAACCTGGGAGTTCTTCATGACACTTAAAAAAACTAACTGCATGTTTTGAAGATTGTTACTAAAATAATTCACCATTTTGAAATTGTTGAATGATAATAAAATATTAAATATTTATTCTGTACCATAATGTAAGCAAATTGAAGTTGAGGGCAAATTCATTTTTACAAAACTGTTCCAGCTAATCTGTGCAGAAGCAATGATAGAATTAAAATATCTCAATTTTGAAATCCTTAATTTATGGATTTAGGCCTTGAACTCAAAAGACTGCTGAGATCATGGAGAAAAAACAGATATTACATGCTTCCTGAATGAAAGGTACACAATGATTTGGGATCCGTCTTACTGAAGAAAGTCAACCTGAAAACAAATAGGTCTAACTAGTACTTTATAGTAAACACAGAGGAAAGAACATACAGAATGTATCATATAGATAAGGAATGTACCAGATAAGCAATTCAATTTTGTACAAATAAATGTAAACATAAAAAAGAAGGTAGGAAATGAGAAATGCATGGAAGAGGAACTTATAGATTAAAATATACTCAAAAAATGTATCACAATGAACATTGATAAGCTGATTAGTATAGATTCAAACTAATAACAATATATATTTACAACATTATTGAAAATTTAGATGATAATTGATTATTAGATGATGTAAAGAAATTATTAATTATTAATTTGGGTAATATGTAATGGCATTGTTGGTATGTATTTTTGAAAATAATCCTTATCTTGGAGATTCAAGATGCTGGGCTAGAGAAAGCTTGCATTATTTGACCCAGGATTCAGGAAGCAGAAATACTGCTTCTCTGTGAAGTAAGTGAAAGAGGGATTTCACTACAATCCAATATTGAACAGAGTGTCTTAGAGACTCAGAAATTTGGGTATATTTGACAAAGAGACACATTTTGGAGCCAAGCTGGTTGCAGCAGCAGTAATACCAGGGCTGATTCGGCATAGAGGGAGGAAGAACGTAGAGAAATACAATAGACAGATTTAGTTTTGAAAATCTTGAGATCAGAAAAGAAGCCTCCCTTAGCTCATCCGGAGGCTGAACTGTACACTGGTGTATGAAAAGCATCTGTGTTTCCCAACTGGCCACAGATTGCTGAAGCTGAAGCCATCATGAGGCGGCCATACTGCAGCTGCTGCTGAAGGAGCCAGGAGATCTGAGCAAAGATGGTTATATGGTCCTGGCAAGTGCTTGCTGCATGCCCTAGGCTGTACCTAGGAGAATGAAAGTGAATATTTTACCTAGAGGGATTCAAGTTGAAAAAGTGAAGGGAGCCCTTTTTCTGGCAGCTGATAAGACCAGCTTAAGTGGGTCAGGAGTTTGAACAGTAAACACTGTGTGTGTAGATAGCAGAGGGGGTGAAGGATTGGCTCCCCCTACCCACAAGTAGAATCCTAGGGAGAATTCAGGGATCCAGAATTCCAGCAGAGATCGGCAACTTCCAGGCCCTAGGGGTGTACTACTGATCTAATCTCTCAAGAGCATTTGCCACCCCACAAAGCCCCTGAGGCCTGATTAGACCCAAGCCAGTGGGAATTTCACTCATAGAACACTGTAGAGGCTCCACCCTGAGAGTGCATGGACCTGGTCTGTTCAGACAAAACTCCAGCTGACAGTACTTCCTATCCCATCCTAACTCATACTAGTAAGAAGGAAAGCTGAGAATTTTTGAACTCAACTGACTACTTGGTGAGCAACACAAAGAAAGGAAGTGTTTAACAACCCTTGGCCTTTACTTTCATGCTCATTTTTCAAAATGTATTTATTTTTCCTTGACTTGCCTTTTGGACATTAGGGTTTTTAGGAATATCTTGGTTTTCTTTACTGTTTTTCATTTGTCTGTTTCTCTTATTTCTCTTTCTCTTTTTTCTTTTGCTAACAGCTAAATTCAATTGTCCTTCAACCTTTCCTTTTTTACTTCTATTTTTTCTCTTTCCTTATAATCACCACACTCTACTTCTCTTCTGCTTTCTCTTTATTTGCTTTTTGAAATTGTAAATTTGTTTTTCACCTTCATATCATATTTTCTTTATTCTTAATTGCATTCCTACCATCTTTCAGCACTAAGTGATTTATATAACACCTGCCCCCACCATTAATATTGTTGCAATTATTACTACTGTGGATCCCATAGTGGACACTTGTTGTTTGATTTAATGTAAGATACAATACATGGATACTTATTGTTTTGCTGATGGTAAATACTGACCTACCATTTCTGGATTTTGTGGAAATTAACACTCTAGATGTCATAGTAGTAACCAAGTAACTGATTTAATACTGTACATTGTTTGTATTATTTGTTGTTATTACTTTTTTCCCTTATCTGTGAAATGCTGGACTTACAGGGACAATTCATGTTTACAGGATAGACACTCAACTCTGTTGCTGAACTCAACCAAAAGACAGTGTACCTTCCTCCACACACAAATTAATAATATTCAATCTTCAACTACACTTTAATACAGAGAACAGAAAAGACAAAACCCAAAACTAACAATCAGGCCCCAAGCAGAAACAGCTATAGTAGAAACAGATTGAAATAATAGAAAGACTGTAGACACCACATCTACAAAGGGATTTCAATGCAGATCACTCTAGTATACTTCAGCAACTTAAGACTGTGCCTTAAAAAAAAAAAAGAAAAAAGAGGTAGAGGAATTCACTTCAATTGATGCACAAGATCAAGCCCTCTAAAAACAGGAGAAAATAGGCAAACAAAATCCACAATC